CTGATGTTCTTTCATACAATGATGACAAACTGGCAAGCATCCTCTTTCTTAGTCGCTCTAAGCCCTTTCCCATCCAACCTTCCCTTTGTTACAAAGTATGAAATGTATGGTTTGGTTTTGGTTTGAACAACGGATCAATATCATGGCACACGGGTAGTAGCCCATAAGTGCTCCGAACTTCTCCTAACTTAAGTCTGAGTTCGAAGAAGCGCAACACAGTGCACAGTCTCTGTAGCACCGGCTAGGATCCTGAAATACTTCGGGTAGATTTTTAACTCCAAATTTTGCCAGGGCAGCGCCGTTAGGCTACTCTTTTCGATTTCCAACTGCCAGCAATGCGTCGGATCTCACTACAGAGGGACCAGGGGGAATTACCATAAGTCCAAGTCCAAGAGAAAAAATACCAGTCCTTACTAGGGATTGTAAACCGGAACCTCTAGCACTCGAGGCGGAAACCATGCTTCGAGACCACGCAGCCCTCCATGTGAAATGGACTTTAGGCTGCGCCTCAATACCATGGACAGGCAGATGTCCAAGGAAAATATATAATTAGATATTTCTTTTAAATGGAAACATAGTACCAATTATATGTTAAATAATAAAAGCGGCAAAGCAACAAAAAGAGATATAAACAATTTTGATGAGTGACACATGTTTCTCTCAAAGGGGAGACTTGGTTTCGATTCTTCGGTAAGAAGTTCATCGTCTCTATAGAACAAAGCCTGGACAGTATTGTAGAGACTATATGTTGCCCCTGCATCATTATCCCCCTCGTTCGACCTTCCTTGTTTACACCAAAAAACCGGTAATACCATCACGTTTGGGACAACGCAGGCTGCAGAAGCTGCCGGATCAGAAGAGCAGTGCTCTCTCTGTCCACCTGTCGGAGCTCCCCTCTTAGCCCAGCCGCCATCCAAGGCTAAAGGCCTAGTCTGCCCTGCCATAAAGGATATAAAACCGAACGAAAAGTGTATCAGCATTCTTCACAATATAACAAGCACAAACAAAACTTGAACGTTACCACTATGGAGCCTTAATCAGCAAATACATAAATCAAACAATACCATACAAATACACAAAATTACTTAGCTTACTATCTCGAAGCAGCCAAGTCGATTTCCTGCCGGTAGACCGACAAGACACGTGGGACAGGAAAATAAATACTCTTAGGGGTTTTGCCAGGGCCGTAACTTGATAGTTTTAGATAAAACTGTGTGCGCAGTTCAATCCTCTAGGATTAGATAAAATTGTGTTGGCAGTTCAGTTCTCTAGGTGTTAAGGTGCCCAAAGTGAAAATAAATAACAATTTTTAAGAAACTTGCGTACTCTGTCGCTGGAGTGGCTAGATTTAATGGCTGTCGCCTACATGTCGTGGACACCTTGGTGATTCTGGGAATTGAAATGCAATAGCTGTGCCATAACAAAGTTTTTTTCAGATTGAATTTCGTCTTCCCAGGATAAGGCTAGTATCCTCCCCAGTGTGCTCCTCCGCCTAAGGCCATTGGCACATTATGGGATGTCAGATTTGTTGTACGCCGCCCAACATTCAGTGCTAACAGAAGACAGGTGGTACCGGCTACTGTTATGCTTTAGCTTAGTTATACATGGAACTTCCGGTGTAAACAGCCACAATGGCGGTACACTTTTTCGTCCGTTGAGGCGAATGGCGCAAATTAGCTATTTTCGCTCACGTATAATGTGAAAGTTTCATCGGTATGGGGTCTGAACCGTGCAATGGAAGTACATGGCACGGACAGCTCATTTTGTCGGACCCCATACCGGTGTCGGGTGGGGGCAGGCTAAGTGGGAATATGACGACTTTCAAGTAACGCCCAAATTCCCCNTTGTTGTCGGCATTCTGCGAATGGATTTTTTGCACGAAGGTATGTATTTTATTTTCTTTCATTTGGACATTTGAAGCCTTGTTTGGGGTTATTTTCTTTTATTTCACCCTATCTCAGGGGTTACACGATTTCATAGAGACTTCCCAGGAAAGTCTAATATTACGGGGTGGGGGGGGGGGGGGGGGGGGGGGGGGGGGGGGGGGGGGGGAATGTTGAAGTTAGATTTAGTCTTTTCTGGGTATTCCCTACAAAATCCCCTGAGATAAAATAAAAGAACTCTTGTATGGTTTTGTTGCTATGGATATGACAGTTCAAAAAGTCATGACATATGCAGTCTTTATTCCAGTATTAGGTTGCCAGTGGCAGACTTGGATATTGACCAAAGAACACAAGGGAGAACTAACCACTGAAAAAAGCTGCGTGCAATAAAATACAAAGATATGTAAAAAGTGAAAAAAACTATAACTCTTGAAAAATACCCACTTTAAAATTTAAATTGGAACAAAACTAAATGGTTTGACCCCATTGAGCGTATGGCAAGACCCACCCACACACACACACTCCTTCACAAGTGTATGGCAAGACCCCCCCCTCCCCCCCACCCACACACACACACACTCCTTCACAAGTGTATGGCAAGACCCCCCCCCCCCCCCACCCACACACACTCCTTCACAAGTGTATGGCAAGAACCCCCCACACACACACACTCCTTCACAAGTGCATGGCAAGACCCCCCCCCCCCCCACACACACACTCCTTCACAGGTGTATGGCAAGACCCCCTCCCTCCTTAAGTATATTGCTGCAAGACCCCCCCACCCCCATGAGTATATTGCAAGACACACCACCCCCCCAACCCCCCCCCCCCCCCCCCCCCAGCATAAGAAAATGTGTTTAAAAAGAGGACAATTGATCCTACAACAAGAGAAACAGTCACTATGAATGAAACTGAAATTTTTTTTTATAACAGATACAAATGCACTCAATTTCAAATTTGCTTGATGCTTTTCCCGTGAAACTTCATCGCGCTCCCTAAGTTGGAGCTACTGGTTTCAACTGAAGCTCTGATATTTAAACTTTTTGACCAACACATTTGACCTTTAATGTAAATGTTAATGAGCCATGGCACTTCAGATAATGGGTAACTTAAAATATTTATAATTAACACAGTCCAGTGTAACAGTTAGCGAATGGAGGATGAGAGTAGTTAATACAGATTTCTTCTTTATCTTAATGTTTCACTGTCTGTGACACCTATATGGCATATTCCTGGTTGTTTCTCCATTCTGAACTTTAGCCTTTTTCCCAGGATTGTAGTTTTATGGATTATTTATATGCAGTCTGACATCCCTAATTCATTGTCTTGTTCGGCATGCTGGTTGGTGGAGGAGGGTTGGGTCTGTATTTATATTCTCTCCATGGCGAAGTGGTAAAGCTGTTTGCCATGCACGCTGCAAGCCGTGGGTTTGTTTCATGGCTGCGTCCTTCAGTTCACGAGTGCAGTTTTTATTGAGATCACTGAAGCTACAGAATTCGTACTTCATGCGATGCTCTTGACAGGCGGCTAGCCGTTCTGCTGAGGGAGACTGAGCCATATGGGATAAAACCCAGTGCAGCGAAGTCGATCCTTTTGACTTTTTAACCTTTAACTTTTTATTCTCTCCACCACACATACACACGCAGTGGGGCCCTAAAACACACAGAGGAAGCTGAGGAAGGAAACCAGTTGTGAATAGAGCCCTTTGGGATTGCAGCATTGAAAAATTAATAAGAAAGAAAGAAAGAAAAGCTGTCTTACTTTTGATTTTCTCTTTTGTGTTACTAAAAGTGATCTTTCCTTTCTTTTAGGGTTTCTTTGGAAAAGGAACCTTGTCACGCAGCCAACCCAACTTTAATGAAAGGAGGCAGAAAATCAGTATTGAACTGCCTCAGAAAAGTGGAGATTATAAATTAGTCCAAGCAGTTGTGGTCAGCAAAAGAAGGTTTGAAATTGTTAACAATTTGGTATAAGCGAGTGTGCTTGATGTTCCCCCCCCCCCCCCCCCCTTTTTTTTTCTTTCCCTTTCAAATCCTTTTACTATTATCTGTTTGTTCTCTCTCACTCTCTCACTCTTTCTCCGTCTGTCTGACTATCTCTCTCTCTCTCTCTCTCTCTCTCTCTCTCTCTCTCTCTCTCTCCTCTCTCTCTCTCTCTGTGTCTGTTATAATGTGGATAGTTTTTCACCACTAAATCTCCATGATTGTATGGTCTGTCCATTTGCCTCACACTCTGAAAGTCTTATGTTTATTTTACGACTGCAATGTTCGGTTCACGAGTGCAAATGTTTTTTACAGAGACCCCTGGGGATCATCGTCAGAGCTATGGTACTCATTTAAGTGGCTAGCCATTCTGGGGAGACCGACTGAGTCATGTGTAATAAAGCATGGTGTGAGGAAGTTGATCCCTTAGACCTTAACCTTATGATACTTTCTCAGATATCCCCAACTACTGAATTCTTACTCTTTCATGGCCTTCTCCATTGTTTATTAAAAAATAAAAAATCACATATATTGCAGTTTTTATATAGATATTCTTTCTCAGCCTTCTCTGGCATCTCACCCGTAATCATTTATATCTGTATTTAAAAGAGTTTACTCCCAGTCTTTACCTTCTTTAGCCCCATCTTCTGGAAGCGGAGGTACCATTTTGTGCAAGACCATCAGACCTTATTTGATGTATTTGCCATAGTTTTTATAATATCGATATATATCTGACAGCTGCTCCTATCTGTTCAACAGCTATGTAAGACCTTGGAACTGTAGTCTATGTACTTTCACTAGTATATGTGTAATTTTTGTGGACTGATTGATATATCTAATGTATACTTAGATTTTTTTACAAAATATATGAGACCACTGAACTGTAATCTATATGCTTGCAGTAGTGAATAGCTGCGTCTGTGGCTTAGGTATTGCGAATGCACTTCCTAATGCTGGGTTCGATCCCAATATATTTTTGTCTAACTAATACTTCTATCTGTCTTCAGCTATCTTGCACACAAAAGATTCAAGGCTCTTGCTGATGGAAAGATGAAAGAATTTAATGATATTGTTTATCAGGAGGAACAACAGCAGGGTTTTGTTGATTCCTCTGACGAAGAGGAAGAGGAGGCAGATGAAGAGGAGGAGGAGGATGAAGATGAGGAGGAGGAAGAAGAGAAGATGGATGAAGACAGTAGTGATGATGATAGCGTTTCCAGTGGTGGTGTTGACAGTGTGAAAATGACAGCGTTCAAATTGTTGAACCAGGAGAACAGCCACACAGCTTTTGATCTTACAAACGCAGGCACATCTGGTAATTCTGTGGGTGTGGCTGATATTTCGCCCCAGGTCAGGTCTCACATCATATCAATGTTGGCCAAAATATCGACACTGTCTAATGAACAGATTACAACGTTCTTGCAGGTGCCTCAAGAAATGAAGCATTTAGCAGAAAGGTACAAGAAGATGAGGAAAGCAGAGGTGAACATGCTGCAGCAGGCTTTTGCGGCAAAGTTTCCTGGTCGGAATTTCAAGAAAGGAGAAGTTATCACACTGGATGAGGATGACAGTGTCTCTGAAAATAAGCGTTGTGGGAATGAGTCTGAAAATGCTGTTGTCATTTCAGATAGCGATGATGGTGATGGAGGAAGCAAAAGTGGTGATGATGATGATAAATTGAAAAGATTGGGATTTGATGGTGCTGACAGCATGTTGGATCAAGGGAATAGAAAAGCATTGAACAAAAGTAAGGATTTAAGTAAAGTTGATTCTTCAAAGAAAGATTTGGCTGACTGGTCCAGTGATGACTCTAATTTCTGGAGTGATGATCCTAAGTTTCCTGTTAAGGACACCTCTAATAAGCAACAGACAGCTTCAGAGAAGAGTAGTCTACAAGACAAAGCTTCCGAGAATGTGGAAGATAAGAAGAAGAAGTCTGTGGGTGCTAGTAGTGATGGTGAACAAATTGTGAGTGCAAACACCGACCAAGTGATGATAGAGACAGAACTACAGAGTGTTTCTAGCAAACTTGTGGAGGATGCCGACCAAGTGATGATAGAGAAAGAACTACAGAGTGTTTCTAGCAAACTTGTGGAGGATGATGGAGATGAGGTTAATAAGCAGCAGATAGCTGCCAAAAACAAGGCAGAATGCAATACCATTGTGGAAGAAAGTAAAAGTCCTGAAAGTAAAAGTCCTTGGAAAACAAATCAGGATGTTAATGGAGGTGAGGTGGATAATGCACAGAAGCTGGCAGAGACAACGTCGAAGAGTACTGCTGGTAAGTTTAAGAACACGGATGGGGTTGAGGTTGATGCGCAAGACACAGATGCCAAAAATGTGGCAGATTACAACATCATAGACAAGAAAAGTCCTGGAGAGGAAAATCATCAAGATGTTAATGCAGATGAGGCTGATTCTGTAACTGATAAAAAAGACAAACAACCTAAGTCACCACCACCAGGTCTAGAAGACAATGCTAGCAGCTTACCAGATATTGCAAACACAAATGATTCTGTAACTGATAAAAAAGACAAACAACCTAAGTCACCACCACCAGGTCTAGAAGACAATGCTAGCAGCTTACCAGATATTGCAAACACAAATGATTCTGTAACTGATAAAAAAGACAAACAACCTAAGTCACCACCACCAGGTCTAGAAGACAATGCTAGCAGCTTACCAGATATTGCAAACACAAATGATTCTGCAACTAATACAGACAGTTTTCATGATGTTAGTTCTGATTTAAAAATGAAAGATGATATTGAATTGGATAACAAAAAGGATAGCATTACTACTCAAAGCAAAGGTTTGGAGGAAAATTTAGTTGATTCATTAATGTCAGTAAACGGGGATACTGATGTTATTCTTCCGAAAGACAGCTTAAATATTCAACAAGAAAATTCATTACGCTCTTATGATTTTGCTGCGAAGGTTGTTAGTTCTAAAGCAGGTGAAGATTCAACAGCATCGGAAGCAAATTCTGACAAAAGGGCATCAGCGAATGAAAATTCAGAAGAAACAATTGGTCAGTCACAGGAAAGTGTAGTTGGAAAAGCTTCCAGTGCAGTGAATGAAACACAAGAAACAGTCAAACTGGACAAAGAGAATCAGTCTGAAATTGTAGATTCTCTGTTGGGAATTGGTAGCATTGAGGATTGTGCCAGAGATCTACACAGGTCTGATGGTCATCTGGATAGAGAAGGTCATGAACAGTCTGAGAAGTCAAAAACTGGAAGTCTTGGTGGCCTACAGATAGAAACTGCAACAACAAACAGCGAGAGCCATGTAAGAGATAAGTTTGTTGTTTTGTCAGATTCTGTTGAAAATGTCACCAGCATAGAAAGTGAAAACTCAAACGACAGTGATGATGTTATATGCATTGAATCAAAATCAGCAGAACCCAAGAAGTTACACCACTTTTTATCGCAGCCAGTGAAGAAGATTTCAATTCCAGTTGTAACAAGGTCCGTTACGTTCATGAGTTCCATTACCGAGGAACCCACTTTTGTGTGTGCAAGCGTTGGCTTCCAATCATGGGGTCCCCTTTTGCACTTCAATTTCACCGGTGACCCATCTCACCTGCCGACAGTTATGGCAGTGTCTTCAGCATCATCTCCATCAGCAGGTCAGAGGGCACCACCCAATGGGCAGACGCAAAATACTGACATTGTATATGAGAGAATATACCCACCAGTCAGATCTCTGGTTCCGAATAGTAATTCTACAGGTGCAGTCATCAAACAGCGACTCAGGGGACTTCCGCTTTTAAACGTGGCCTACAGTCAGATTTTACAAGCTGGCGACGCTGGTTCTGGTGTCGAAAGTTGTTCTCAGAAAAATCTGAAAGAGCTGATGGTCAAACCCCCACAGTCCACAGTTCAGCCTCACACAAGGACGTTAGTAACTCAGCAGTTCTCAGTATTATCAACTTCAAAGACTACACAGTCACACTCATTAGATTCACATGAGTCGTCTCATCGAGCGTCTTCTGATATTCCAAAAATCAAATTCTCTCAAGTTTCATCTTATATAGAAGCATATCAGTCTCTCTCCACGTCACCAGCCTCTGACCATACAGAACCGCAAGATGGAACTGAAGATGCTGTGAACATTACATCTCTTCTTGCTTCTTTGTCATCAGCCGTTGTGAAAGTTTCAAAGTTATACAGTGTTTTGTCTTCTAAGGATACACTAGAGATTTCTGTCGATGACCAAGAGAAGCATAGAACTGAAACAGACACGGTCCTTGCGGAATTCCACTTGGCCTTGTCTCGTTATTTATCATGTGTTGAAATATCGTCCGCATTAGAACCGCACATTCTTACTTTGCTTTTATCAGGGAAGAATAATAGTGGGGAGGGCGTCTCTGATACAGAAATTGTGGAGGTGAAAAGCAAGTTATCATCTTTTCATAAATGGTTGCTGGACAGAAGATTTGAATATTTGAAGAAGGATCAGCAGGTTAAACATCATCACGATTTGCGGAAGGTGGTAGTTGTTGATTTAACAAGTAACTCTGATGAGAAAGTACATCTATCACAACCCAAATCAGGGGTTAAAGGCAGTGTGGTTGTTGATCTTACTGACAAATCTGATATGAAGCTAGATGATTCATCTGATAGTTCAAAATTTGAAAAGGGAACAGCTAGTAATTTGATTCTAGACCCGGTGAAAATAACAAACTCATTTGCTGAAAAATCCGCCATTGAAAATGCTGGTTTCCTAGATTCAGACAGCAGCAAACAGCAAACTGAGGGGAAGATTGAGACAGATGCTTCAGACAGCAGCAAACAGCAAACTGAGGGGAAGATTGAGACAGATGCTTCAGACAGCAGCAAACAGCAAAGTGAGGGGAAGATTGGGACAGATGCTTCAGACAGCAGCAAACAGCAAAGTGAGGGGAAGATTGGGACAGATGCTTCAGACAGCAGCAAACAGCAAAGTGAGGGGAAGATTGAGACAGATGCTTCAGACAGCAGCAAACAGCAAACTGAGGGGAAGATTGAGACAGATGCTTCAGACAGCAGCAAACAGCAAAGTGAGGGGAAGATTGGGACAGATGCTTCAGACAGCAGCAAACAGCAAAGTGAGGGGAAGATTGAGACAGATGCTTCAGACAGCAGCAAACAGCAAAGTGAGGGGAAGATTGAGACAGATGCTTCAGACAGCAGCAAACAGCAAAGTGAGGGGAAGATTGGGACAGATGCTTCAGACAGCAGCAAACAGCAAAGTGAGGGGAAGTTTGAGACAGATGCTTCAGACAGCAGCAAACAGCAAACTGAGGGGAAGATTGAGACAGATGCTTCAGACAGCAGCAAACAGCAAAGTGAGGGGAAGATTAAGACAGATGCTTCAGACAGCAGCAAACAGCAAAGTGAGGGGAAGATTGAGACAGATGCTGTTCATTTAACAAACTCAGAAAATAAAAATGAAAGCTTAAATGAAGAAAATGTTACCAGAGATTTAAATGAAAGACAGATCTCGGCTACGTTGTCTGAAGAGTCTAAAACTGAAAGCTTTGGTAAAGAAAATGGGTGTGAAAATTTACATGAAAATACAGAACTTTTGTGTGACGGGGATGTCTGTAAAAGTTCACCTGTAAAAAATATTGAAAAGCTGAATGACGGACATGTCTGTGACAATGCATCTGAAGTCAGTATCAGTGAAAATGTAATGAAAGAGAATGTGTGCACAAGTTTAATTGAAACAAATATCAGTAAAAGTGAAGAGGCTATACACAATGAAGTGGTCTCTGAAGAAACACTGAAACATAGACAGAAAACTCTAGAAACAGAAAACAGGAAGCGAAAATTTGAGAGGTCACATGATGAGACGTCTGAGATGAACGGTAAAAAATTGAAATCTGACGAGGATAGGTTGTTAGGTTTAGATGAAGCAGATGAGAAGACCTGTACTAGCAGTAGGGGTGAAGATAACATGATGGACACAGAAGATGGCACACTGGTTGGTTCAGATGAATGTCTAGAGGTAGAATCGAAGAGCCTCATGAAAACACTGGAAACTACAAATAATTGTTTTAAAGCTGAAACTAGTCTTGATATACTAGGCCAGGAATCCCATTTGCTAGACGAGTCTGATGTAAAAGTTGGCGCAAGCCAGACATTTGATAGTGGGCAGCCGTGTTTGGACTCTGGTGGTTTGCCAGGTAAGATTATGAATACCAATAAAGAAATTCAAGCTAGTGAAACTGACCAGATCTTGACCTCAGAAAGTGCTGAGGCTAAAGAAGGCACTGGAGTAGTGACAGATGGTGTCAGTGATTCCTGTGTGAGCGACGTGAAGTTGACTACACCTAGTGAAGTAGAACCTGTGAAATTAGAGTCCTCTAACGGCTCAGATGTTCACACACCATGCCAACAAGATCCTTCTAGAGACTCAGCAGATGTGAAAATCAAGAAAGATGACCGTTTGATGAAACAGTCTGAGTCTTCCATTTTAAATGAAGAAGATTCTTCAGTTGTAACCCTAGATGATAGCGTTGAAAAGATGGATACACCCGTTGCAGCTGAAGCTAAACAAGACATTGGTCCAGAAACTGCCGAAAGATTACCCTATACTAATTCTCCAGTTACAGACCTGAAGTCAGAGAAACCCCCAGGAAAAAGTGAAGTTTTATTGTCAAAATCTGGAAGAGAACAGCCAACAAATGTCGTCAACTGTGTGGTTAGTTCTGAGTCTGACTCCGAGGATGTTGCTTGTATCAGTGCTGTAGAAAAAGCCAGGCCTCCTGGTGCAAGTAAAAATACAAATCCATTACTCAAAAAAATATCTGATAAGAAAGAAGCTCCCGAAACTTCAGAAAAAGGCAGCTTGCAGAGCTCAAGCACCAGTAAAGACATCCATATCTTCATAGGCAGCAGCTCCGATGAAGCAGAGGAACCTCCAGCTAAAAGACACAGATCAGGACAGTCTTCAGCACTTGAGACACATCCCTACAGCACCAGGGATGACCCCGATGGCAATTTATTTGTTGTGGCAAACACATCAGATGAAGATTATGAGGACTGTTCTGACGATGACGATGGTGAAGAAGGGCGAGTCAGAAAAAGACGCCAGCAGCGGTGGCGGTCGTGTGTGAAAAAGGACCCTTATCCTACACAAGAGAAACTTCATTTGATGCTGGAAGAGGTCAGTTTTAAGGACATGTATTCTTGTGACTGCATTCTTGGTTTATTGTACATAACATTTAAAGCAATAGATTTCAGCTAACTTATCTGTTATTTGAAGCTGCGTTTGTGCAATGGTTAATGTGCTTGCAGGTCAAGACAGATGCTCCCCGTGTGGGTTCCGGGGCCCCATTGTGGGGAAAACAAGAATAGACCCACTGCCTCCCCAAAAAGCATGTCGTAAGAGTCGACTAATTGGGGAGCTTCCTTTGAAGTCGGAGTGCATATGCCGGAGAGGCAAGGAACCAACAGTCTGTATTCAAGAGAATGAGATCTGTAAAACTGATGCACACGCAACACTCAGGTTCTGGAGCAGGACTGCAGTTCAGTAGTGGACGAGCAACCAGAACTTTCCGCCAGAGTGTACAGCTGGTGAACGCGAAGAAGAAGAAGGCAGAGGTTCAGGTTTTGTAGAGAATCATCAGTAGAACTAATTACTAATTAAAAACTGTTGAGGTTAGGGTTGGCAAATTGGCCTTTAATTGCCTAATTGACCTTTTAAAAACCAAATTCAAAAAATAATCTTTCTTTTTTTTTTTGGAAAGTGGTTGGCCGATTTGTCTAAATTTTGCGTTGGCAGTCCTGGTTGTGGTTTGCAGTTTTCAGACATGATATTTTGGCCTAGATAAGAAATGCTAGGGGGTAATTGTACACTTTACATAGACTCTGAATGGTTGTATTAGAACAGGGTCTCCACCATACCAGTGGCAGGCATTTTATTGAGATGTTCCATGATGGCTGTGATGAAATGAATCTGTGCAATGACCTTGACTTTTGTAGTAAAGGACCCATTTCCACACCTGCAGGCATATTGGGCATATAGGGCTAGACCTATATTTTATAGACTAATCAGTACTTGTTGGGTGATGTGGTCAACACCACACTGGCCGCCTTTACTTCCTGGGACTGTACTCTAACCTGTTTAAGGCTGGGTTGACTACTGAAATAACTATATATTTCTATCATTCATTTATACCATTATCATTGTAAGCTCACTGGCGTAATTGATCCGATTTTACCCTGGGGTGTAGACATTTACCAGATGCCTCCAGATTTCTCTTAACAGCAATTTTCTTTTTGACTTTTTGTTCCATTCCAGTCCTCCTTCAGTCAGGGACTGCTGGATGTTGCCTGCCCAGTGAAACCTGCGTCGTCATTGAGGTCTGGTTCCCTGGTTTTTGGCCTCTTATGCCTTTCATGGTGGCCGCTTCTGTCCCATTCTGCATACTTTTCCAAACCATCATAACTGTGACGTATCCACTGGAGTTTTTAAGGCCTGGGTTTCAAGATCATGGTGTATTGTTTGGTTGTGAACTTTGTCCGTTCTTATCACTTGGACCATTTTTCTCAGATACCTCATTTCTGTTGCCTGAACATTACAGGCTAACACCTGAGAACCAAGCAAAATACCAACCATGAGCTTACTGTCTTCATTGCACATCCAGTTGGCTCATGTCATTTTTGAGTCAGATGATCTTCTCTGCCATGATGCCAGACAATCTAATATCGTCAACTTCTTGGCCTCTCCTTGCCTCTCCCCCTCTAACTCTCTCACTATCCTGATGTTTTGTAGTTTTCCCTTTCTCATTGTGTGCCTAAAGAATATGGGTTCTTTTCTTCAAGTGTGAGAATCAATTCTCTTTTTTCCCCCCAGTATAGAGAAAACAAGAATAGATTCGCTGTCGACTAATTGGGAGCCTTCTTCGAAGTCAGAGTGCATCTGCCTCAGAGGCAAGGAACCAACAGTCTGCACACAGATATGTCAGATCTGTCAAACAGATGCACACACAACACTCAGTTTTTGGAACAGGGCTGCATTTCAGAAGTGGACAAACAAATAGAACTTTCTACCAGAGTTTACAGCTGGTGAACGCAAAGAAGAAGAAGAATTCTCTTTTGAGTTAATTTCCTTCGTTACATTGTTTTTTTAATCTGTCCATTTCGTTCTTATCAGACTTCTTTACAGCCACATCTTTCCAACTTCTACATAATGTTTCTCCCATGATGCACTTCCATACATCAAGATTAAATCTGTAGACGTATTTGTTATTAACTGGAAAGAGTGCTTATTATCTTTATAATAACGTCTGTGAACAATGATTTTGTCAAATAAAATCAGATGGTATTTGTACATACTTTTTGTGTGACACATTCTCTATTTTACCCAGGCATTTTTCCTGTCATTTGGCCTGGGATGCTTGAGAATTCTGGATCCTGAAATGGTAAAGTATAGTTACAGTATGATAAATGTCTTCTGTATTGCATTCATAGATCCAGTGATTTGCCTAACAGTTGACCGCAGACATCATCATCATCATCATGTGTGACACAGACCATCATGTTCCTTTACATTTGCCATCTGTTTTTTTGAAAAGTTTATTATATATTTGCTTTAGACAACATTTAGATAACATAATGTACTCATTTTGAATCAGTATTTTCTTCTTACCCTGAAGTCATGAGGCATTCCAGGAGTAGAGAAAAGTAGAAGAAGTATTTTATTGTGTGTGTTTCTCATGGCCTGGAGAGAATGATGCACCTCAGTGTGACCAAAGGGTCTGGCTCACTACACTCAGGAACGGCAAGACGGACTTTGACTGGTACCATTAGTATTGGTACTCTGCGCTGGCTGCTGAAAATGGGGATGGAATGCATATGGAAATGTCTCGAGTGCTCTGATGTGAGTTCTTGACTCAACTCTAGTCGTCATTCTGCTGCTGAAAGCTAATCTTCGCTTATCTCTTTGTTTTTATAAAATTTAAATTGGTTCTGTAACATACAAGGTCCGATAATTAAGTAATGAGACTGATTTTATTATTACGGCCAAGACAAAAATGCCATTTATGAATCAAAGCATGAAATCCAAAGAGGTAAGCTTGTTCTACGATCTGGCAACTTTTCTTCGCCGCCCTATAAGCAGACAACAAATAAGCCGCCATTTTGTTAACCTAATCAGAGGTGTATGGTCACATAATCAGCATGGAGCCAAAAAAGCTAACATTAAATTCTGCTTTAAACTCATAAAAAGCGCCATTGCTACAGTTGAATTGATGTGTCAAGTTTATAGGGATAATTGTTTATCTCGTGCACAGATTTTCAGCTGGTATTCACGATTTAAAAGTGGTGTGGAAATGATTACTAATGCAACTAGACCTGGAAGCCCAATTTCTGTTCGTAATGAGGAACTCATTGCAAAATTTCGAGAACGGATATAAGAAGATCGTTGTTCGACTGTAAGAATAATGGTAGATGAATTTGGTGTTAATACAGAGATTATTCCTAAAATTTTAGTGGAAGATTTGGGCAAGAAAAAAGTTGCTGGCAATTTTTTGTCCTTCATGAAAATGCACCAGCTCAAAGGGCGATAGTTGTACAGGAATGTTTGGTCCAAAAACAGATGTGTGTTCTCAACCATCCACCCTATTCCTCAAATTTGTCTTCCTGTGAGTATTTTGTATTCCCAAAATTAAAGTTGCCATTGAAAGGAGGTTTTTTTGACAATATTGATGGCATCCATAGGGCCGTAACATCGACTTTAAGGGCCATAACGATAGAAGAACTACAGAGGTCGTTCCAGCGTTTGTTAGATCATGCCACTCACTGTATTTAAGCACAAGAGGCTTACTTTAAATAAAATACAGGTTATATCTTCAACTGTTGATTATTTAAATTTTTATGGAATTAATCTGTTTACTTAATTGTCGGACCTGATATACTATGTGTTTCCTATTTTAATTTTTTTTTAAAGACAACCTTAAGAAACTTGTTAAAAACAGCTCTTCAGTTGTCATGTTTTATTTGAGTCTATCTTATTGGTTTAAATAGTTTGTTGTACTAGTAGTTGTGGCTTTTGGTCTGTAACAATGTGTGCTAATGTCTCAACATGACTGAGTCCTTTCTGTTGGTTCTCTGATCCTGGTTGGGGCTTCCATATTGTGTGTCCATTTTCCTGTCTGTGCCTTCTGTCTCCTTGGTATGATCAATTTTCAATGTTGCATTAAGAATCGACATCGCAGCACTTGGGACACCCCCACAAGCGCTCCGTCCGTATCTTCAGCAGCAAGTGAAGAGTTCCAATTCTAATGGCACCGGTACTGCTTGATTGTATATCCGTTTTGCCTTTCCCCTAAGTGTGAGCACCGGCCAGATCCACTTGTAATTCCTGGCAACGCCATTCTCCCCAGACTGTAATAATCTATCTGTGCCTCTGCACTGTTCAGTCTCTCCCAAAGAGCCCTCACAAAATCCAACCTGTCACATCAGTTCACCACTAAGCGGTTCAGAACCGGTCTGTCTGTCTGCCTGCTCATTTGCCAACACACCGGCATTACCTGAAGAAAATATCCAAAGGACGCTAACTACCCGGGACCTGTGAAGTGTTGCTTGCCACTCTGCACAGAGCATGCCAGTCTCCACCTTTCTCAACATGCTCTGTGAGTCAGTTACAATCACGGCATGTGTGCTCAGCAGTGACTGCCTCCATCTCCATGCACTTCGTCTGCCCCTCATAAAAAACCCATCTGTATAGATAATCAAATCACCTGGGAGGGAATTGTCTAATTATGAATGAAGTTGTTCTTTTTATGTGTGATAATATTCCTCCCGAGTGATTGTATCCTGTCATCTGTCTTGAAGGTCTCTGACTTTTATTGTTGTTGTCCGTCTTCTCCTGCTGTGTGGTCCTGATATGGGTCCATCATATTGAGGCTGCTTTTTATCTCTGTGCGTCCCAGGCAAGAGCTAAGGCTGTCACCAATATGTCCAGACTGATCTTTTAAAAAAATCTGAATATTGTCCACCACTCACACGAAGAGCATCCTTTTATTCTAGTAACCTTAAACAAGTCATTTGGGCCTATTATCTTGTGCACACCTGCATGTAAGGTATTTTTGTTGTTAACAGAAGCTGTTGGACCTGACACAGATGTGGCAACAGTTTCAGGTCTTGAAGGAACATTTCATCCCACACTATGTTGCTTACCATTACTTCCGAAGCAAAGGATGGGTTCCTAAATCTGGCCTCAAATTTGGATGTGATCTCGGTAAGTTGACCTCTGCATGTTTTTGTTAAATATAATTACACTTATATCAGATAAATTCACATGTATTCGTTCGTGCTCCTTGAAGTAAAGGAAAGTCAAGGCTTTGTGAATCCGACCTGTGATTCCAACATACCGCAATTGAAACCCACTGCTGTGTGGATTTTTATCATGGTACGGAACGTCACAGGTTGACCCAGCATATAGTGGGTACCAGGATGTATGTCCTAGAGAAGTAAAGACGGCTGGAGTAATGCTGAACAAATTTACCCCCCTAGTGCTGATTGGTCTGTAAAAATATGGGTGCTCATTCCATATGCCTGATACACCTAAAGAAAGGATCTTTACTTTTACTTTTGCACTATGTCTGTGTGTGTGCATATCTATGCACATATGCATAGTTAAGTACTGCACAACATTGAAACTTTGACACAGCCTTAATGATGGTCCTGACCCACTCAGGACTGGAGATTATACATGGCTAATTATATGCCCTAATTATATAATCTTTAGAGGTTGAATCAGCTGTCTGGGATCGGTCTTGTTGGTCTGCTGACCGTATTGAGATTTTGAAATCACTGGGTTGCATGGTAAACCGTTAGTAGACCCATCTACCGACAACCTTGAGACATGCTTTAAAAAAGAATTTGATGTATTTGCTAGGAAAAGTTGAAATTAGAGGACTTGCTAGACAAAATAAAAATGACAGACTACGTTGATTGCATATGAAGTCTGCTGTTTTCTTGAATTCATTGGTTTGTTTGGCGTTTTAATGAACTTTTTCGCTGTGTTGTTTTTGGTGACCCATGTGGGGGGGGACAGTAGACCTACTGCCTCCACAATCATGTCATTAAAAAAAGCAAGTTTAGGGATTTGCTGAAATCAGATGTTTTGGGCCAAAATGGATAGGTATCGCACCCTAGCTGTAAACTAGAACTTAGTGTGCCAACTTAGTGTGCCAACTAAGTGTGCCAACTTAGTGTGCCAAACAACCTCCAGAGAGTGAACACAGAAGAAGAAGAAAAAGCTGGAGCTACTAAAGTGAGAATGAAACTAAAGATATCGTACAATAAGGTTGTCCCAAGAAAGAAGAAATGTCACAATGTAGTGTTCTGGTAAATGGGTATATTCTTAAATTGGTGAATTTTTATGACTGTCTGTTAACAGTTGTGTGCTATTTCAAATGTATTGTAAAGATTAGAACAGAATCTCCAGGACATGAGTAATCTTTTGCGAGGAATCTCATCAGCAAAACTTGTTGACTGCATTAGAACAAGGAGTTAATACTATCAATCTAAAAAAGCATAATATTAGTTTTGCCATCAGTTACAACTCCCTATCAGTTGCTAAAATTGATGTCATTGTTTTTTTGTAGTCTTGTACCGAGAGGGGCCGCCGTTCTACCATGGCAGCTACTCCGTGGTTGTGATTGCAGTGAAAGACAGCACTCTGTTGCCAGTTAGCACACGCGGTGGCCTACTTCTGGACAACAGGAAGCTCAACTGGGTTTCCCTGGCAGGGTTAAACCGAATTACCGAACATGTTGCCAAGGTAAAGTTTATGAAAGAGGCTGGCCAAGTTTTTATGATGCTGGCTTGTTGTATATGGAAACAGGACTTCTTAACTCTGGAGTTATCACCCCGCATCCCAAATGTTACTTCTTCTTCTTCTCCGCATCCTCTTCTTATCCTTCGATCTCTGTCATCATCATCTGCATCCTCCTCCTCTTGTCCTTCTTCTCCGCCTCCTTCTGCTTCCCTTTGATCTCTTTAATGTCATCCTTTTCTTGTTCTTCATATCCCCCCATTGGAGCATAGGCCCTCAATCGGCTCTTGCTAGGCTGTACTGTCTTTTGCCATGGCTTATTACTGCTATCGTATTCTCCCCATATTACTCATTTCTAGCTCTAATTCTCTCCAGTCTTCCTCTTTATCTGTCTGCCCCGTGGGTTCCAAAGTAGTGTTATTGTCTTAGTTTAAAAAAATTAGTTCTAGTTGCTTTTTAGTTTCTAGTTAACTATAAGTTTCTAGTTAAAAGGTTATATTTACCTAATTAGTTTCTAGTTACTTTTTTATTTCTTGTTAATTATTAGTTTATAGTACAATATTAGTTTCTAGTTATTTTTTAGTTTACAGTAACTGTTTAGTATCTCGTCACTAAAAAGTTTCTAGGTTAATTTACTTTAGTCACTCAGCAGTTTCTAGTCACCCATGAATTTCTAGTCACTTAGTTTCTTTCACACACAATCATTCAGACTGCATTAAGTATTAACATCTGTTTCTTGCAAACTGAAAACTGATTATGAAATATTTTGATACGATTCGACATAATATTCCAGGACCTATAGACATTTTTCTCCTAATTCACCCATACAGGAGCTGATGCTGTGTTATGTCATTTGGCCAGCAAATATGACCTCTGAGGAGTCCCTGTCGCCAGATTGCATTTCAAGATTTAAGGTTAAGGTGAGCTGGATAATTAGGTAGAAATGATGACCAAATTGTTTTCTTGAAGTTATCTCTCTGCTCCTGACCTTCATAAACATTAATCTGATGATAATTTTTAATGTCCAGTGTTCATCTTTTCTCACTTGCTTCTTCTTCTTCGTTCACCAGCTGTAAGCTGCGGTGGAAAGTCCTGGTTGTTCCTCCATTTAGACTTTGACTTTGTGCCAGGGTCTAAGCTTTGCGTGTACATCCATTTTACTAGCTTTCTTATGTGCAGTTTGTTGCTCCTTGCCACTCAGGCAGATGCACCCTGACTTCAAAGGAAGTCCCCATGTAGTCAACTCCTATGACATGCTTGTTAGGGAGGCAGTGGGTCTATTCTTATTGTCTCCACAGTGGGGTCCCTGAACCCACACAGGGATGATCAGTAGTGAGGGGCATGTTGATAGAGCTGGTTGATCAGCGAAAATAATGTTCTGAATTCTCCTCCTCTTTATCTTTGTTGCTGCTTCTGCTACCTCTTTGCCTGCTGCATTCACCCTTAAAAAAGTAGTTGGTACTTGGTGTTATTGGTTACAGCTAGGCTGCAATATCTGCTCTTCTGACCAAAGCATATGATTTTTACCAAACTCTTAATTAATCGGGAGCTGACTTGCTGTAGCAGCTAGGCCCTCACATGCAAGTCTAAAGGTTGTCAGTTCGAATCCAAACAGTGCTGGACTTGTTTCAAAATGACTTGACTCTCAGGTTGACCCAGCCTCAAATGGGTACGAGATAAAAGTTCATGGGAAGTCAAGGTGGCTGGGGTGATGCTGACCATATCATCCACAGAGTGCCAATTGGTCTATGAAATATAGGTACAGCCCTACATGCCCTGTATGCCTGGAGGTGTAGAAAAGGGTCCTTTACTTAATTAGTCACCAGTTACCAACGTGCTTGGTCACTGTTAATTTTTCCTCCTTAAAATTGGGCCTGGAGGCCACACAGGGTGTTCTGTATTCTGTGGGTAAATTCTTTTGTTTCTCCAACACCCTATCTTGTACTCTGTGGGTAAATTCTTTTGTTTCTCCAACACCCTGATCTTGTATTCTGTGGGTAAATTCTTTTGTTTCTCCAACACCCTGATCTTGTATTCTATGGGTAAATTCTTTCGTTTCTCCAACACCCTGATCTTGTATTCTGTGGGTAAATTCTTTCGTTTCTTCAACACCCTGATCTTGTCTTCTATAATATGTAGTCATTTTTTATTCTTACACCACCTAATATTTCACTAGTGCTACTAGATAGCACGTCGCTCTGCTCTCACAGTGTTCTAATCATCACTGAACAAATGTAATACCAGTCAAAGTCTTCCAGTCAATGTGGTAAATAGGCAGGTTTACTGTTTTTTTGTTGTTGGTCAGGGCAAGTTTTTTTGTATGGCACTAATTAGCTTTTGTATATTTCGCCATATATGGACAGAAAGGCTATAGTTCCTTCACCCAGCTACTGAGTTAAGCGAATGGTATGACACAGCTGTGGTTTTCATTTGGAAATCTTTTTGACTGCCCTACGTGGTTTGTGTGGTGAACTGCAGATCACAGAAAATGGCAAGTAGCCCATTGCCAGAGATAACTGTTGGTGCCTCATGCAATTAATTCCATGTACAACTACTGATCTGTTGTAACTGCTTCTGCTATCGATGAACTGCATTTCTCGTGTCAGACTGTTTGTGTTGGCACTTCTGATGGCTGTCTTTATATTTATTGCGTGTGTCTGCTATTGGCTTTGCTGAGACTGCAGTCTGTGTCATTGTTTTTATAAGGGACAGTTATAGACATTCAGTGTGGGTTTTCGTTGGCACAGGAACGGAGCAGCTATAGGGCGACAAGTTTGCTATGAAGTTGGAACTGCAGTTACCTGATTACCTGTAGACAAAAAAAAAAAGTTCAAATGTTTTAAAGTCATGAGGCTCAACTTCCGACACTTAATGGCAAAATTGGAAGGTTGTAAAGATGATGAAGTTATATTCTTCTTCTTCATGTTCACTGGCTGTAAACTAAGGCGGAAAGTTCTGGTTGTTTGTCCAAATCTGGACTTGATAGTCTTGTTCCACAACCTGATTGTTGCATGCACATCTGTTCAACAGATCTGACATAATCGTTTGCAGATTGTTGGTTCCTGCCTTTCAGTCAGATGCATTCTGACTTCGAAGAAAGTCCCCCCACCCACCCCAGTTAGTCAAGTCTTACAATATACTGGGGGAGGGGGGGGGGGTCCAGTTCTTGCTTTCCCTACGGTGGGACAATGAACCAACAAATGGAAAGTTATATTCTAACACTTACAGTGTGTATTATGCTTGTTTCTTCCAAATCAGGAATTGGTGGTTTCCCGATGGGTGTCTTCTCAAGAAAGAGAGAATAAGTTTGGAGAGGAAGAGATGCCATGATACTGGAGTCAAGTCTCAACAAACAACCAAGGTGAATCTGAGCCGTCAACCTGAATGTCACAGGCACTTGTAGTGGGCAACATACCTGCTGGGGTATTGTACCAGGCAACATACCTGCTGGGGTATCATTAAACCCATGTTAATAATGCCTCCATACGTGTGCAGAAATGTGACTGAAAGTTCTAGTCTGCATTACAGTGGTTAAAGCTGTAGTAAAACAGCACTAAGGATTAGTCATTTGTGTTGTATTTTCTGTATGTATTTTCAGTTGTGTAAATAAATGTCCTTAAGTTTGAAATAAAAAAGGTCAGGGTTAATTGCAAGAGGATTACCTTCCTTGCATGGGTTTTATCCGATATCTTCTTCTTCATCGCGTTCACCAGCTGTAAACTCTGGTGGAAGGTTCTGGTTGCTCGTCCACTAATGAACTGCAGTCCTGCTCCAGAACCTGAGTGTTGCGTGTGCATCAGTTTTACAGATCTCATTCTCTTGAATACAGACTGTTGGTTCCTTGCCTCTCTGGCAGATGCACTCCGACTTCAAAGGAAGCTCCCCAATTAGTCGACTCTTGCGACATGCTTATGGGGAGGCAGTGGGTTTATTCTTGTTTTCCCCACAATGGGCCCCCGGAACCCACACGGGGGTTTATCCGATATGCTTGAGTCTCTCTATGCAGAGCGTACCCCACTCCCAAGAGCATCACACAAAATGTGAAAATGTTGCACTCTTGAACCAAACAACCACAGCTGATGAAATGAGCCCATGACATTTAAAGCGCGAGGCAAATGGCTTGAACACTTTGCCAGAAAACTTGCGAACTAGATGGAGAGTTAGTTAGTCTTTCCTCTTGTGTCGAGTGCGGCACATAGGGCAGAGGTCGTGACTCTCCATGCACGGCGGTCCGTTGCAATCCGTTGTAGGTCTTGGATGTTTGAGTGGCCCATGAGCGAGCCTTCCCTGATGATAGTTCTACGTAGGGTTTCCCTTGGTCTTCCACGAGATCTTTTCCCCTGTGGTGTCCAAATGAGGGCTTGGTAAGGAAGTCTTGATTTATCCATTCTAAGGACGTGGCCGACATAGTTCCAGCGGCGTTTTCGTATAAAATTAGACACATACTCTTGCCTGGATTCTTGCCTTATTTGTGTATTGGTTCGGAAATCTGACCATTTGAAATTTAGTATTCTTCTAAGGCATTTATTTTCAAAACTGTCTAATTTTGTGTCTAGAGTTTTCGTTGATTTCCAACTCTCGCATCCATAGGTTAGTACTGGAATCACACAAGAATTGAAGATCTTGAGTTTTGTGTGTTTGCTAAGTGTCTTTGATTTCCAGATGTTAGACAGTTTATTGAAGGCACTAGATGCCAGTGCTATTCTAAATGATATTTCTGGTGCGGTATCTGGAGAGTAATTGCTAAAATAATGGATATTGTGAAATAAATTATTCAAGGTCGTCATTTAAAATTTTGCATTTAACATTTTTCTGATTAGAAAAAGAAATCATTGTATTCTGTTGTAATACAAGGTATGACCCAGAAGTTTTCAAATTTGTTGTTCTACAAGAGTACTGTGTGTTACATCTAGTGGCCAACACCATAACTACGTGGCAGCTTGCTTCATGTAACAAGGAACCAGGCCTCAGTAGTTTATGCCTGCACTTCCTCAAAGTATAAACTTGTTTAGTAAGACGACTTCGTTGTCTTATCATCATCATCATGTAAAAGTAGAGAGTGAAAGTTTAATTTAGTACTGTTTATATAAAAACACTGAAGTCTCTTAACTGATTAATAAAAGTTTTGGTAGCCCTACCAATAGCCTTGCTAATTTGCATTGGTGGCTTTCACATTTTGGAGACAAGGGATGAAATGAATAATGAAGCCAGAAGTGGTTGTTCCTTAACTGCCAAAAAAAAAAAAAAAAAAAACAAACATGTAATATGTTGTCTACTTGCAGGAGACCATCCTAGGATTTTGGAATGTTTGTAAAGAGACAGTTCATTAATCAAGATTAACATAATTAAAACTTTCCTCTTCCTTGATCAGTGATTCTAAGAATGATCTGGCTTTTTTAATCTTTATCTGGATAAAAAATAACGTACACAAAATAAATAACTAGATAGATAAACAAGAGGAAATGCGAGAAGAACAATACAGTCTGGAACAGGAAAGCTCTCTGTTATTCAAGATTTTCTTATATATTAAAGAAATTGACGATTGGGTATTAAAAACTGTACGCATGTGTGGACTGGCACCCCCAGACAACTGGACATGTGCTACAGACATGCAGTCGAGAGATCACAGGTTGGAACTCCAGTGGAAACCAAGCTGTATGGATCAGGGGAAGACATGTGGCGCCAAAGACTTCATAGAGGCCTGTGGCCTTCCCATCTGAACACCGGGGGCAGGAAGACAGAAAAGAAAGGAAGATTCCTTATGTATTATATTATGATGATGTTATATTTTTCTATGTAAACATTACTTTATGCTAAAATGTATTATTTTATGTAGTTATGATGTAAGCATTATTTTCACATGACGTTGTAAGTTTCTCCAATGTAAAAAGAAAAATTCATTGATAAGTGTAGCTATGATGAAAGCATCATTGACATAAGTCTTGTTGATACTTGCCTGTGTAAACATAATTTTATGCTGTTCTTATGTGACCCCCCCCCCCCCCCTCCCCCTTTCCACCCACCCTCATCCAATCAGGGGAGTTTCAAAAGTCTGAGTGCATCGGCCTGAGAACCGAGGAACTAGCAGTCTGCATACAAATAAGCCAGATGTATAAAATGGAAGTGCAGGCACAACTCCAGATCTGGAACCAGAGTCTAGCAATGGATGGACAACCAGAACTTTCTGCTGGAGTTTAGAGCCAGTAAACACTAAAAAGAATAAGAGGGGAGTTGTTTGGTATGTGTGGCTTAGGGGGTATAACTAGTTTTATAATTCCTGGATTTCCTACATCTCTAATATTAGTGGCGTTTCTGTTCTGCCAGCTTGCTAGAGGATTTTGCAGCCTAAGTCTTTGGTCTTTCCTCTTTCAGTGAAGCATTGGCCTCCAACCAACTCGTAGACTAGTTCCTTGTGTAGGCAACTGTCAAAGAGGGACCATGGAGTTGTGTCGTTGGTTATGGCAACAGTGTCTGTTATGTCACTAAGTCCAATGCCGAAGTGGCAGTTTCTGTCAAATAGCCTACATAAAAACGTTGATACTCTATTATACTGAGGCTTTTTGTTCCCTCAGACTTCTTCTTTCTTTAGCTTGTGTGTTAAACCTCTTGCAAACTATGCTGCGTGGTCTCGAGGCATGGTGTCCGCCTCGAGTGCCAGAGGTTGCGGGTTCAATCCCCGGAAAGGGCTGGGATTTTTTCACGTGGACTTGGACTTCTAATAATTCCCTCTGGTCTCTGGGCAGTGACATTGAATGCTTGTGTGCATTGTTGTGCACGTAAAAATTCCTTGGCAGTTGGAAATCGAAAAGAGTAGCTTTACGGCGCTGCCCGTTAAGTGTTAAAAATCCACCCAAAGTATTTCAGGATCCTCGCCAGTGCTGCAGAACCTGTTCACCGTGCTGAGCTTCTTCGGACTTAGACTTGAGTTAGAAGAAGAACGGAGCACATATAGGTTACACCCATATGCCATGATGTTGATCCGTTGTTCAAAACCTCAAACTGTTCACTGCCTGCTGCCATAGGAGTCGATCTGCAGTTGATGTCTTCCAGGTGGCTGTATCGTTGTTCATAGACATGTTTCTCATTGTTTATATATAGCAATTTGAGTATTCTGAGATGGGATCTGGTGAGCCTCATGCCAACCCACCCGTGGTTTATGTAACATGTATCTGAAATTTATATCTAAAAGAGAAAAGCAAGCAAGAAATCTTCTCCTATGTGCGTTCACTAACTGTTAACTCTAGCGAAAAGTTCTGGTTGTTTGCCAGCCTCTGGTCTTGTTTTGGTCCAGAACCTGAGTGTTGCATGCACATCCATTTTACAGATGTGACTTATTTGTATGCAGATTGTTAGTCCCCTGCCTCTCAGGCAGATGCACTCTGACTTCTAAGGAAGCTGCGCCCCCCCCCCCCCCCCCACCTTCCAGTTAGTCGACTCTTACAACATGCCTCTTGGAGAGGCAATAGGTCTGATCTTGTTTTCCCCCACAGTGGGGCCCTGGAACCCGTGTAGGGATGAAGCAAGAAATCCTTTTCATGATTACATGAACGGTATGCATCAACACATCTCCATTGTCTGAGTAAACACATCTCCATTGTCTGAGTAAACACATCTCCATTGTCTGAGTAAACACATCTCCATTGTCTAAGTAAACACATCTCCATTGTCTGAGTCAACACATCTCCATTGTCTGAGTCAACACATCTCCATTGTCCGAGTAAACACATCTCCATTGTCTGAGTAAACACATCTCCATTGTCTGAGTAAACACATCTCCATTGTCTGAGTAAACACATCTCCATTGTCTGAGTCAACACATCTCCATTGTCTGAGTCAACACATCTCCATTGTCTGAGTCAACACATCTCCATTGTCTGAGTCAACACATCTCCATTGTCTGAGTAAACACATCTCCATTGTCTGAGTCAACACATCTCCATTGTCTGAAAGGATTACAGATGCTGGATTTCTGAGGTATAACTCGGAGGAGTTGAACACCCTCTTTTGTTCAGCAGAAAAATGATATTTACATGGCCTGTTATTGGTAAAGTTTGATGATCTGATTGACGTGTTTGTGAGTTAGTGGAAAAAAATAAACCTCTCTTACTGTTAATTGTGTGTGTAAATCTACATGTGAATGTGGTCTCTCTCTCTCTCTCTCTCTCTCTCTCTCTCTCTCTCTCTCTCTCTAAATATATATATATATATATATAATGTGTATATGTGCCCGCTTTCGAACACCATGCGTTGCCTGCAGCGAGTCACAGCTGGATTTGAAAGCGAGTCTCCTATCGACTGCGCAAATGCGGCCCCGTTGCACACACACAACTACTAGTTTTGGCCTCTTTTCTCACGATTGTGTTTTTCAAGGCTGACAATTTCAGGGCTTGTGTCTAAACAGTCATCACGTAGTAAAACTGGAAGTCGTGATATTGCATACAGTATGTGTGATTAAATGCGTTTGAAAGGGCATTTCTATAAAAGCCAGAAAAGAACTTTATTGCAGTAGGTTTTGTTTAATATAGCACAGTCTCTGTCCACAAAAGTAGCTGTTCATCCACTAAAAGTGTTGCACACAATATCGAGGCTAAGGCGATGACCCACCTTTACCCGAGATCTTTGAAATACCTGCACTTGCAAATGAAATAATAATTTAGTCAAGAATTGGCGTCTTTGCACTCGATATGTTTCCAGATGTGCTGTTTAATTCCTAAGAAATCTTGAGGTATGGATGCTCTGTCGAGTTCTGCTGTACTGTTTACTTGATCCCAGAGGACTTTAACTGTATTCCGCTTTATTATACAGTAGCTCACAGCCCAGAGGAGCAGCAGAAGCACTAAATGTACCCCATGAGTACCCATACTGATGTTGACAGTTTAAAAAAATTAACCTGCTGCCCCCACCCTACCCTCTCCAACAAGCATGTTGTTCAATATCATGAGTCCTGCCAGATGGCGAAGGCACTCATGTCTCTCCAGAGATCACGATCCCTCGTTGCCTGGAACAGCTCTCTTGATGGTATTCCTCCATGCCGTCGTTTCAGCCCATCCAGCATAATCTCTCTTGGTCTGCCTCTACCCCTCTTTCCACTGATCTGTCCAGTTGCCTCGATGTTTTCCAATGTCTCGCTTCTCATTACGCATCCAGAGAACAGTGTTTGTCTCCGTCTTATTGTTGTTACAGTTGACTAATTAGGGTTGTTTTCTTCAAAGTCGGCATACATCTGCCCCGAGAGGCAAGCAACCAGCAACTGCATTCAGATAAGCTAGAAATGTAAAACGGATGAGCACGCAAAAAGCCAGTTCTGGAACAAGGCTAAAAAGTCTGAATTCCAGAATAGGCGAGAGACTAAAACTTTTCACTGCTGTTTGAAGCTGGTGAACTTGAACCCCCCCCCCACCCCCCCAAAAAAGAAGAAAGTCTGCTTGTCTTTTCCCCGTTCACATTGCAACCGTCCAAATCCTCTTGAAGTTTCCTAGAGTGGGAATATTCTGTTTAGAGTGACCATAATATCATGAGCTTAAAACGGGACATCACGTTAATAATATGAGCTGAAAACGGGACTTCCCAAGCAATCCAGATTCACCATCCCATCCCCATTCTCCTCCCATCTAGGCTACAAGGGTGAAAGGCAGTGTTGCCACTTTGGATGTTTTACATCCAGATTTAGATGTTTATCCTTGCATTTAGATGGCGTTTTTGACGTTTAGATGGTAGATGTTTTTCATTTAGAGTGAATTTATCAAATATAACCCAAGAAACAGGATGAAATTTGACCTCCTAAATTCTATCTTGACAATAAAATTCTGGCTGATAAGAGTAGGAAAAGGCTGTTCCACTTATCAGCTCCCTGATTGGGTAATAAAAGAAAATGGAACAGCTAAAGCATACCATAGTCATTATGGATCTGAAGCTTCAACTTTAACATCCAAGCAAAGTTTATCATGTGGATCTTGTGAGACAGACTTCAGTAAAGATGAGGACATGATTCTATAGAGTAAGTCATATCAATAGCTGTGTAATTTGTAACTCTTTCAATTTGGATGTTTTTTCTAGATGTTCTCCACGCAAAAGATAATTTTTGACTCTGTTTTGGATGTTTTTTGTCAAAGAAAAGTGGCAACACTGGTGAAAAGGGTTAATTGCTCGCCTGACAGTCGTATTCACACCCTTACCTCTGACGTCAAGAAATGAACCAAACCAGTGTTTCCCAAACATTTCCCGTCACGGCCCACTCGCCGCTAAAAAAAATAAAAATTACCTCAGCGGCTTTTTAGCTGCAATGGAAAATGTGCAAGCAGTATCTGAAATTATTAAATCTAATAAGGCCTACAGATATAACTATAAGTTTATGTTCTGCTCTGGAGGAAATGTGTAACAGATAAAACGAGATAATTAATTTTTTTTTTAAACAGAGTACCAAAGGTACATATGGAATGCGCATAAAAACGGAACTGCTCAGTGAAAACGGGACGTATGGTCACCCGTGACTTTCGGTAGTATCCCTGGGTCACCCTAGTCCTGTTTCACTGTTCACGTGATCCTGGAGAGCTTCAACCACATCCGTCTTCATTTAAAATGTCCTGCATCCACATCCGCGAAGGTCTGCCTCTGCGTCGTTTTTTTTAAGAAACTACCTTCCATCAGATCTCTCTCTAGGCCAACAGCGTTCAACAGGACCAAAATTGCCCGGCTCGCTAGCGTAGTCTGCTAAACCTGACTTAGCAACGACCGGGTGATGAACTCCTTGTGGTCCGGGGGTAGGCAGAAAAGCCACAACTCTCCCAGATTTACGGTATCTATCATGTAATCAAGACCGAAGGGTTGCGATATCCATAGTCCCGAGCCAAAGGGTTTAACAACTCATGGTTTCTTGATATAAAAAAAAAAAAAAAATGACCAAAATAGCACACCTACAATGGCTCTCGGTGCACACGGCAATTACTGATACTTGATTAATCCATAACTTTAATGGTACGGATTTTTCAACATTCTTCCTTTCCTTTCGTAGTGACATAAACATACTGTAAGATTTCTAATTTGGGGAGGTCAAAGTCGTTACTATTTTAAGTCAGTTTCTCTTATTGCAGGATCATTGATTATCAGCGCTATTTCTGCGCCGTCCAGTTCTACAATCTTTTCTAAATCTGTGGCTTGTTTGATGGAGATTTCGTCCAAATGCGGCTGAAAAACTGTTTTCTTGGAGCACACGGCAATTATAAGAGCCACACTATAGAAAGCCACAGTGATAATTCGTAGTCCAAGGCTGAGAGCGTGATACCGGAAACGGAACAGCTCGATGTCGTACAATGTGCATGCGCCAACGGAAGTGCAGGTTGTCTTCCATAGCAGGCAGGTGGTGTCGATGAGGCCACGAAGATTTGTGCTTTGTGCGACGGTCTTGGCAGACGGCTCATAATCACATTGAGAGAGACCGAGGGGATAAAAGCTGGTGCAGTGAGTCTATCCTTTCGACTCGAAAACCTTCAATAAAGCATTACATGCCTCGAATGTAACATCGCACTTCTAGTATCAAAAGAATTATTTAAATATGGTGTTAGGACTAACAAGAAGTATTAAATTAGGAGAATGGGTCATACCAACATTTGAATCCAAAGAATGCGTAAAAGCTGAAGAACACTAGGGAAGAAAGAGGCTAAAGCTTTGCTTTAGAGGGAAAAGGTGGGGGGAGGTTGAGTGTTTCCATGACAAATTAGTTAATGGACGTGCTAAATTATTCATTTTTTAAGTATTTTTCTTATATCCATACTCTAACCATGACTGTAGTGAACTTCCGTATCAGACTGAATATGTTTTTTGTACATTTTATTTTACCTTTTGGCATGTCACGCGGCATTGTCCATTGCTCTGTTACCTCGTCTTAATAGACTGTTCATATGAAAAAAAAAAAAAAAAAAAAGACTTTATGCTGAACATCTCTCTGGTTGGCCCTCTCTTTCCAGTTGGTGAAAATGTTGTGTTTGCAGGTCTGTATGATTTTATCTCTCCTGTGCATTGTGCATTATCTCCTCTGCATCTGTAACTTCAATATTCCCCACCCATACTATTAGCTCTCATTCCATCTGATGTTATTTCAGGCTTCTCACTCCATTCACTGCGTATGCATCTTTTTTCCAACACTTCTAAACTTATCTTAAAGTCCATACTCTTGATTCACTTCCGTAAGGATATGATTGTCGCTTTAAGAAATGCTCTTTTCGTCTTTTGATGAGATTTTATTGAAACAATTTTATTTTGTAAGAGGGTCCATTTTCAGACTATACTGAGGGACAAAGGAGAAAACTATAAATGAACATCTATGCTATATGCACAACTTACCCAGCAAAGTTCCTGCAAAGGCACTGAGGCCAATAGCTAATGGCTTATCTACTTCCTTCACAGATCTGTGTTTTTGGAGGGGGAAAAAAACACACACTAAATAAACTATCACGCGTAAGAAAATTAATACATGTTATTTAATATAATTATTTTATATAAAGTTGGATTCTTCTTCTTGGCGCTAACTGGTTGTAAACTCCGGCTGAAAATAGAAATTATTTGCCCACTTCTGGACTTTGTTCTTGTTCCACAGCTTCAGTATAAGAGTGTAACTCTGTTTCACAAATCTAGCTTATTTGTATGCAGTTGGTTACTTGCCTTTTAAGCAGAAGCACTCCGATTTCAATGGAAGCATGGATTCAATAACCAGCCCCACCTCTGTCGTGACGTTCGCCAGGAGCTGCATGTCTCTCTTTGGTAGCCAGTGAACAGTTATAAAGCTAGTGGTGGCAGTAGAAGCCTGATTAAATATCCCTATGGTTTCCCTCGTAGATTTTCATCATGGTATGGAGCGTCGCAGGTCGACCCAGCCTAAAATGGGTACCAGGATGGCTGTCCTGGGGAAGCAAAGACGGCTGGCGTAATGCTGATCACCTTACCCACCTTGTGCAGATTGGTCTGTAAAAATATGGGATGCTCTTCCCATATGCCCTGTACATCTAAGGCATGACAAGGGGTCTTTACTTTACTCACTATGGTTCCCCTTACTCGTTCACACTCCGCACTGTAGCAGTTGACCCATAATTGTTTAACAGTCTGGGTACAAGAAAGACCTGAATCAAACATCTGGCAGAGGTCACTACATATGAACAGGTATGTAGACAGAGAGACGGATAGACATGAACACAGGAAAACTGGCAGTAGAATAATAGACAGGCAGACCTACACACACGCAGACAAATATAGATAAATACACAGACAGGCAGTCACACAGACAGACAAACAGATAAATAGGTAGACGGACAGACAGACAGACAGACAGACAGACAGACAGACAGACAGACAGACAGGCAGGCAGACAGACAGACAGACAGACAGACAGACAGACAGATAGATAGACAGACAGACAGACAGACAGACAGACAGATAGATAGATAGATAGATAGATAGATAGATAGATAGATAGATAGATAGATAGATAGATAGATAGATAGATAGATAGATAGATAGATAGATAGATAGATAGATAGATAGATAGATAGATAGATAGATAGATAGATAGATAGATAGATAGATAGATAGATAGACAGACAGAAAGAGACATACATAAACTTCTTTGACAGTGGAACGGCATTCTTATGATTATGATGATAATGATGATGATTATGATGATGACAATGATGATGTCGATAATGATGATAATGACGAAAATGAAGATGACGATGATAATGATGAAAACAATAAAGATTGTTATAATTATAACTAGTAAAGTATAGGACTCTTTTCGACGCCTTTAAGCATATAGGGCTAAAACTTTATTTTGTATAGACCAATCGGCACAAGATGGGTGATGTGGTCAGCATCAGGCCGGCCGCCTTCACTTCCAGGGACTACACCTGGTGCCCACTCAAGGCTGGGTCGACCTGGGAGCCAAGGTCATTTTTGAAAAACGTCCGGCTCCGCCAGAGAGCGAACCCACGACCTTCCGATCAGCAGAGGTTAGTCTAGCTGCTCCGCCACGGCGACTCCCATAATAATAGAGATGAAAATGATATAATAGCGATGATGATGACGACAATGATGATGACGATAAGGATGATGGGACATGTACCTGACACTGACAACGAAACCTGGCATGATGGTCAGAGTTGCGGTAAAGGCTCCCAGGAAAGTGAATCCAAGAAAGACGTACAACATGTTGCAGTCTGGTTCACACAGGCCTCCCTTCGCTGTGCTGACCCCCGCAGAGGTTAGGCAGCTACAGTTTGAGAACACCTGAAATATTAATGTCATTATTGTCGCTTATTATTTGATTCATTTCTTTTCCCCCTCCCTTTTTCTCTTGCAGACACCTGGTAAGAATTCATAATGGAACCCACAGGTGCTTGAAATAGAGGCACGTAGAAGGGTAAAAGATGGGGAGGACATGCGTGAGCTGCGGGCAGTTGCGAAGGATAGATCGACTAGCCGTAAGTTGGTTAAGGATAACGGAACTTAAAATGTTTCAAAGGCTGCCTTTCTAGAGACGGGACGAAGCTAGAAGAAGATACATACAGATGCAATGATCAAGTAGGAACTCTCTCTCTCTTCTCCCCCCCCCCCCGTAATTTGTAGGACAACAAAGTAAGTACGTCTATAAGCAGTTGTCTGAGAGCGTGTAGGCTTGCCATTTATAAAAAGGGGTGGGGTGGAGTGGGGGGGGGGGGGGGGGAGACGGGGGGGGGGGGAGACGGGGGGGGGGGGGGAGGAGACGGGGGGGGGGGGCGTTGGGGGGGGGGGGTAAACCCTGAAAAATATTCAAAGCTAAGATTTTACATGCATCGCAAACCAGGTTTAGCAGTTGCGAATTTTCTGGGCAATTTTACATTCAGTAGTAAGCCATTGCTTTCTCAACGGTTCGACGTTCTTGCCAGAATTACGAAATCAACTCAGAGCAGTTGCCAAATCTTTTGCAGCTGAATTTAAGCAGGTGTTTTTAAGTTTTGAATCTACCGACAGGTATACAGCATGTGAGAAAACAGTGAAGTGGTCAAGGCAGAAGTGAGATCTGCGTGTGGGTTCCGCGGCCTCATTAGGGTTGGGGTGGGTGTGGGTTAAGGGGGTGGGTGTGGGTTAAGGGGGTGGGTGTGGGTTAAGGGGGTGGGTGTGGGTTAAGGGGTGGGGTGGGTTAAGGGGGTGGGGGTGTTAAGGAGAATAGCAGAACCACTGCCCTCAAACATTTCGTAAAAGCCCACTAATTAGGAGTGTTTTTTTTAAAGGGTGGAAGGGGGGGGGGGGGGCGTCCGAAGTGCCTCTGCCTGAAAGGCGAAGAAACAACAGTCCTCATACAAATAAATAAGAACTGTAAACGGATGTTCACGCATAAGTAAGAAGAAAAGAAGAAGAAGAAGAAAAAGAAGAAGAAGAAGAAAAAGAAGAAGAAGAAGAAGAAGAAGAAGAAGAAGAAGAAGAAGAAGAAGAAGAAGAAGAAGAAGAAGAAGAAGAAGAAGAAGAAGAAGAAGCATTGAGATTCTGAAATACAGTTTGTGCTTACCCCTTTATCAATAGACAAACACCCGGCATGACAAGGTGAGAAGTAGTTTCTCCCATCTTCTCCACAAACCGGGAAAAAGTTGCCATCGTCGCAGTTACAGTCTCGTACACAAGGAGACAGGCTGGAACTGGACAATAAATGATGTATCAATTTCCAAGTCTAGGAATAATAATTTTCTATATATAGACGCCGAAACATGAAGGTTTAAGCATCTTGACCGGCCAGGAATTTAGCTCAGATCCCTAAATATGAATGAAAAGCTGCGCCCCCCTCCCCCCAACGATGTATAAAAGTTCTATTTTGAACCTTTTGTTTATACACATCATACATAGTCTGACAATTAGCTAATGGGATTGATTTTATCATGACTAAGACAAAAAACACAAAACATGTTATCCAAATAGGCGCCATTCATCTATGATTTGACCAAATTGCAACGACACCTGACCAACAAACGATTAATCACTTGCAATTTTGTTGAAGTAGTGAGAGTTGCCTGGTTTCGTGTTAGCTTGGGGAATAGCCAATATTAAATTATATTTTAAAATCTGAAAAAAACGTGTTTCTGACACAGCTGAATTGTCGACACCAGTCTATTAGCATCAGTGATATCTCATGCGTAATCAGGTGTGGAAAAGACAAAAAATGCAGTTAGACCGTGGCATCTGATTTCTGATCGTAAAGATAAAATCATTGCCCCAGTCAGAGAACCGATACATGAATACTCATATCTGAATATGAGGATGCTGACAAAGGAATCTGATATTAATAACAAAAAAAAAAAAAAATGAAGGTCATAAAATGTGAAAGATTTGGGCAGAGGAAAATCGCTTCCAGACTCTGTCTGATGACCAGCTATGTATTCGAAAAAAAAAAAAAATCACTAAAACTTCAGAGAAACTAAATTCTTTCATTGTAGCAGAGAATGGAACATGGTGTTTTCTGTATTATTCTACAACTATGAGAGAATACTCAATGGAAAGTCACCATCGTCACCAAGAGGGGAAAAATCTTTTTGAAAAGTAAAGACAATGTATGACAGCAAGGGCATTATTCCCAAAGTTTCCGCGAAGGTCCGATCGTTGGGGAAATGTAAAGACCTACCCCCACCTCCTCCTTACCCCACAAAGAAGGATGTCGTACTTAGGGATGTCTCCTTCGATGTCGCAGTGTATCTGCCCTAGAGGCTTGGAACCAACAGTATGCAAACAATTGGTTCTGGAAAACGATCAAAGTCCAGAAGTGTTGAAAATCTCCCGGGACCTCTGCTTGCTGTCTATAACAGTACCATTTATCCAGCAATCTCCTTGCTTGCTGTCTGTAACAGTACCATTTATCCAGTAATCTCCTTGCTTGCTGTCTATAACAGTACCATTTATCCAGTAATCTCCTTGCTTGCTGTATATAACAGTACCATTTATCCAGTAATCTCCTTGCTTGCTGTCTACAACAGTACCATTTATCCAGTAATCTCCTTGCTTGCTGTCTACAACAGTACCATTTATCCAGTAATCTCCTTGCTTGCTGTCTATAACAGTACCATTTATCCAGTAATTTCCTTGCTTGCTGTCTATAACAGTACCATTTATCCAGTAATATCCTTGCTTGCTGTCTGTAACAGTACCATTTATCCAGTAATCTCCTTGCTTGCTGTCTATAACAGTACCATTTATCCAGTAATCTCCTTGCTTGCTGTCTATGACAGGACCATTTATCCAGTAATCTCCTTGCTTGCTGTATACAACTGTACCATTTATCCAGTAATCTCCTTGCTTGCTGTCTACAACAGTACCATTTATCCAGTAATCTCCTTGCTTGCTGTCTACAACAGTACCATTTATCCAGTAATCTCCTTGCTTGCTGTCTACAACAGTACCATTTATCCAGTAATTTCCTTGCTTGCTGTCTATGACAGTACCATTTATCCAGTAATCTCCTTGCTTGCTGTCTATGACAGTACCATTTATCCAGTAATTTCCTTGCTTGCTGTCTATGACAGTACCATTTATCCAGTAATCTCCTTGCTTGCTGTCTACAACAGTACCATTTATCCAGTAATCTCTTTGCTTGCTGTCTATGACAGTACCTTTTATCCAGTAATCTCCTTGCTTTCTGTCTATGACAGTATCATTTATCCAGTAATCTCATTGCTTGCTGTCTATGACAGTACCATTTATCCAGTAATCTCCTTGCTTGCTGTCTATGACAGTACCATTTATCCAGTAATATTCTTGCTTCCTGTCTATGACAATACCATTTATCCAGTAATCTCCTTGCTTGCTGTCTATGACAGTACCATTTATCCAGTAATATCCTTGTGAGATAAATTTTTTTTATTATTTGAAGCCCTACTCTGGCTATTAACTACTGGACGTAAATTTGCCTAGAGAAACCACACAACAGCCAGTTGCTGCTGGGGTTGGTTCTGCAACGTCCGGTAAAGGATATGCAAATAACCTTACTCTGGCTATTGCCAGGTGCAGCAATATAGCCTGACCATAAATATGGTCTAATGGCTGAACGCGGTTTCTGGGACCTCTCCACTGGTGATCCTCATCCACATGATGGCACTTTGTGTCATCGGGTGTTTATCGCTTGTGTGATGTCCTAGTGGGGTAAAAATCTACTACTACTACTACTACTACTACTACTACTACTACTACTACTACTACTACTACTACTACTACTACTACAACTTCTACTACTACTACTACTACTACTACTACTACTACTACTACTACTACTACTACTACTACTACTACTACTACTACTACTACTGCTGCTTGCTGCAGCTGAAATAGTCTTTCAAGGTATATATATATATATATATATATATATATATATATATATATATATATATATATATATATATATATATATATATAAACTGCTCTGTTGCTCTGTCCACTCGATCTCAGGCAATCTTCATACAGTCGGCTTTATCAGAAGGTGTTTAAAATATGGAATACTGCATAACGAAAGATTTATCAGCATCGTGCGACCTGCTGATAGCCATCGGCCTGGGCTATTCAGGTAACTTCACCCAGGGGCCAAAATTTAAAAAAAAAACAAACATCGTCACAGGCCAGAAGCCTAGAGAGATCATTAATCATCATCATGTAGCAGGTCCTTTGCAGAACGTCGCTCTCATCACAGTCTGCCTGAAAGAAACTTGGTCTCTCGCCAGTTCTCCTGCCTCATATACTTTCATTCTCAAGGAGTCACTTATATCCTGTGCCCATCTTCGTGTTGGTCGGCCCCTGCCCCTCCTTCCTGGTACCATGCCTTCTGCTACAGTTTTTTCCAATCCGTTGTGGTGCTTGATATGACCAAAATATTTCAGCTTCCGAGAAAGGATGCTGTTTATTAGCCAATCTCCCTTGATGTACAGATTTTTTAAGATGTCAATATTTCTCCTCTTCTTTGTCCAAGATATGCTGAGAATCTTTCTATAGCATTTCAGCTCAAAAGCCCCTATTCTCTTTATTAAGGACTGAGAGATAGTCCACGACTCACATCCGTATGTAGCCACAGGGAAGATGCATGCTCTCAAAATTCTAATTTTTATCTCCTTGCTGGTGCTTAACCATAGACTTTTAAGGCTGTTCAATCTTTGCATTGCCAAGGCCATCCTCCTTTTAATTTCTGTCAAACAGTCTCCATTGCTGTTTATCATAGATCCTAGATATTCAAAGTTTGTGACATTTTCAATTTCTCATCATTTATTGTTATTTTTGGGTGACAGCCAGTTTTATCTGTGGACATTATTTTTGTTTTCTTTAAATTCAAGAACAGATTTTGATCTTCACTGTGCTTTCGGACAGACAATATGAAATTTTCGATTCCCTTTACGCTGTTCAAAAGGAGGACTGTGTCATCTGCGTAGCGGAGTTCCAGAATAGGGTAATACAATTGTTATTAATTATAGTTGCCGTCCAGATGATGTACTTATCTATACAGACGGCTCTGTGTTGAGGGGCAGACGAAGTGCATGAGCTGACGGCTCTGTGTTGAGGGGCAGACGAAGTGCATGAGCTGACGGCTCTGTGTTGAGGGGCAGACGAAGTGCATGAGCTGACGGCTCTGTGTTGAGGGGCAGACGAAGTGCATGAGGGTTCATAGCACAATCGAATGGACGTCGCCTAGTGCAGCAAAACCTGGCTTATATCACAACATCTAGTTTGAGAATGGAGTTGAAGGCAGTCACTGCTGCCTTCCGCTGGATTGAGAATCAGCTGTACACACATGCCGTCATTTTCACTGATTCACAGAGCATGTGAAGACAGGCATTCTTCGTGCAGAGTGGTAAGCATCCCTTCAGAGATCCCGGGAAGTTAGCATCCTTTAGATATTTTCTCCAGCAGTTTCTGCTGCCATCCGCTGGATTGAGAATCAGCTGTACACACATGCCGTCATTGTCACTGATTCACAGAGCATGTTGAGGAAGGTGAAGACAGGCATGCTTCGTGCAGAGTGGTAAGCATCACTTCAGAGATCCCGGGTAGTTAGCATCCTTTAGATATTTTCTCCAGGTCATGCCGATGTGTTGGGAAATGAGCAGGTAGATAGACTGGCGTGTTCTGCACCACCTGGTGGTGAATTGATGTGTGACAAGTTAGATATTGTGGGGATCCATTGGGAACGGGTGAAGAGCGCAGAGCAGCAGATAGATCATTACGGTCTGAGGAGAATGGTGCTGCGAGGAATTACCAGGGAATCAGACATCTACCGATGCCATCGGAAATGGAACTCTTCGCTTGCTGCTGAAGATGGGGACTTAGCAGTTATGGAAGTGTCCCGGGTGCTGTGATGTCAATTCTTCATTCAACATTCAACATTTAATACAATTGTTAAACTGCCAATTACTGCCTTTTTACACCACTTTTGCGGTGAGCCTGAGGATTTACGGACGCACAGCTAGTGCTGTCGCTACGACTGTGCAGGTGAGGACTTTATTCACAATTATTAGGATCTGCAGAATCACCCAAGAATACCTACTTGTTTGTGTCGAATCCTGTGTGTATAACTGGCTGGCTGCAGCCCACGAAAAACCCCGCACACAGAAGGCTTGTGGAGATCAAAATACAGCCAATCATCATCTTCAGGCAAGCCACGGGAGACAACTTGAACCTTGACGTTAAATACCCGCCAAAGATGGATCCAAATGAGGCCGATAGGACATTGATGGCACCTGTTGTATGAAGTAAAATAAGTATTAAATGTTTAACTCTTTTCTTACCACTTTCATCAAGATTACAACGCCTAATCCCACTTCAACATTGGTCTACAAGTTACTTCATAATCGCAGCGTCGTCGGAATTTCATCTTGGTGCCCCACCTCCCAAATTGTTAGGGAGCAGGCCCCGCTCCTCTTCTTTAGCACCCCCCCCCACCCCCTATTTTCATATTATTGCACATGTACGCGTTTTATTATAAGGTATTTGCAACTGAAAGTTAAAAATACAAGGAGTAAAGGTTCCTTTACCACTCCATTAGACGTACTGGGCCCATTGCAATTGAACACACAGAAGTAATTTGTTGCCGTCCCCATGTGTGATGCAATGTTTTGTTATTTTGAAGCCCCACCATGGATTTTATCGGGGTCCCTAAATATAGCCGGGCCATAAATATGGCCTAAGTGTTGAACGGGGTTTCTGTGACCTTTTCACGGGTGATCAACATTCCCATGGTGACACTTTGTGTCACCGGTTGTTTATCGCTTTGCGTGCTGTCCTGGTGGGGTACAACATACATAACATACACAAGTAATTACCCGCCGTAGTGTAGAGGTTAGGCGCGTGACTGGATTTTTTTCAAAAACGACTTTGGCTCCCAGGTCGACCCAACCTTAAATTGGTACCGGGTATATTCATAGGAAGTTGGCCACATCATCCACCGATCGCTGGTTGGTCTATAAAAGATAGGTCTAGCCTTATATGCCCAATACTCCCCAAGACGTGGAAGAGGGCTCTTTACTTTAATAGTTTAATGGGAACGGGGTCATTCACTTTACTTACACAATAATAATTACGTTATTAACGCAAACAATAATACTAATACTGATGGCAATAATTGCGCAGTTAAACAAGGCTTGTGTCCCGTGAGCCCCATCTATTAAGGCAGAGGCCCCCCACCTCCCCCCTGATTGCTCCCCCCTCTATATTTTCGGTACACGTAATCTCTCTCTCTCTCTCTCTTTCTCTCTCTCCCTCTCTCTCTCCCTCTCTCTCTCTCTCTCTCTCTCTCTCTCTCTCTCTCTCTTTCTCTCTCTCGTTGCACTCCACTAGGACATCACACAATCGATAAACACCCGGTGACACAAAGTGCCAACATGCGTATGAGGATCACCCGTGGAGAGGTCCTTGAAACCCGTTTCAGTCGTTAGACCATATCTAAGGCCCGGCTATATTCAGGGCCCCCGGCATTTGATTATAACGACTTGATTATAAACTGAACGTTAATCTAGCGAGCCCCGCCTGTATACACACTAGGTCACGTCTGATTGAAAGTCCCTGAGCTTCTTAGCCTTCGCACAAGGTCAGAGGGGTGTTGCACGATACCGTTGATGTCGCATTCGCGTTCAGCATTCTGAGCCCTTGAGGTTCATTGCTGCAAATATCACCGGCCTCCACTCATCTCTCTGGTTAGCTTTCTCTTTTCAGTTGGTGACACCAAGTGCTTGCAGGTCTGTCTGGACGTTATCTCTCCATCGTACTCTTGGTCTGCCTTGTAGTTTGTGACTATTGAGAACTCTTGTGTACACCATGTTTTAACTATCTCTCTTTACACAGATAGATAGATAGATAGATAGATAGATAGATAGATAGATAGATAGATAGATAGATAGATAGATAGATAGATAGATAGATAGATAGATAGATAGATAGATAGATAGATAGATAGATAGATAGATAGATAGATAGATAGATAGATAGATAGATAGATAGATAGATAGATAGATAGATAGATAGATAGATAGATAGATAGATAGATAGATAGATTAGATAGATAGATAGATAGATAGATAGATAGATAGATAGATAGATAGATAGATAGATAGATAGATAGATAGATAGATAGATAGATAGATAGATAGATAGATAGATAGATAGATAGATAGATAGATAGATAGATAGATAGATAGATAGATCGATAGATCGATAGATCGATAGATAGATAGATAGATAGATAGATAAATAGATAGATAGATAGATAGATAGATAGATAGATAGATAGATAGATAGATAGATAGATAGATAGATAGATAGATAGATAGATAGATAGATAGATAGATAGATAGATAGATAGATAGATAGATAGATAGATAGATAGATAGATAGATAGATAGATAGATAGATAGATAGATAGATAGATAGATAGATAGATAGATAGATAGATAAAGTAGGTAATGATAGGCATCTTTCCAGACGACAGTGCTATATTGCGCTATGAGGAGGCTTAAGACTCACAGCCCATGGCGATGGCGAGTGTGACTAGCAAGACCTGCCTGCGTTAAAGAAAAGTCTTCCATAATTACAGCAAGGGATTTCAGAGTCGCTGTTGTCAACATTATTGTTTAGTGTGTTTCTTCTTAGAGGCTCAGCTCTCATCCTTTCTGCGATCAGTTCTTCCTTCTTTCTCATTACCTTCCTGATGTACCCCTCCTCATAACACGGATAGATAGATAGATAGATAGATAGGTATATATGACGCTAGATAGACAAATAGATACATAGACAGACAGACAGACAGAAAGACATACAGATATGGGCAGGATGGTAATTGTTATACAACACAAATTTCTATAACTTACCCAGTGACAAATTTGCGTCTTTAGCAGTGACTGTAAACTGCGTCTCGATGTATTTGGCCATAAATGACATTATCCCACTGACCACAGTAAGATTCATACAGGTGCCAAGTACCACGCAAGCGTAGACGGGGTTGAAGACAAGTCTGAACATTGATTTCAAGAAATCTACAGCAGACATACAAATCAAACCAGTTTATAAATATATGTCTATTTGTGTATCTGTTCTGTCTGCTATCTTTTTGTTTTTCTACATTTCTGCTTATTTCTCTGTCTGTCTACTTGCTGTCCATGTGTCTGCTTGCTGTCTATATGTCTATCTATATGTCTGTTATTTCTGTGTCTGTCTGCCTGCTGTCCATGTGTCTGCTTGCTGTCTATGTCTGTCTATATATCTGCTTATTTATGTGTCTGTCTGCTTGCTGTCCATGTGTCTGCTTGCTGTCCATGTGTCTGCTTGCTGTCTATATGTCTGTCTATATGTCTGTCTATATCTCTGCTTAGTTCTGTGTCTGCTTGCTGTCCATGTGTCTGCTTGCTGTCTATATGTCTGTCTATATGTCTGCTTATTTCCGTGTCTGTCTGCCTGCTGTCCATGTGTCTGCTTGCTGTCTATATGTCTGTCTATATGTCTGCTTATTTCTGTGTCTGTCTGCCTGCTGTCCATGTGTCTGCTTGCTGTCTATATGTCTGTCTATATGTCTGCTTATTTCTGTGTCTGTCTGCTTGCTGTCCATATGTCTGCTTGCTGTCTATATGTCTGTCTATATCTCTGCTTATTTCTGTGTCTGTCTGCTTGCTGACCATGTGTTTGCTTGCTGTCTATATGTCTGCTTTTTTCTGTGTCTGCTTGCTGTCCATGTGTCTGCTTGCTGTCTATATGTCTGCCTGTGTGTCTGCTTCCTGTCAGCCAATCTGTTTGTACGTCTGCTTGCCAATTATCTGTCTGTCTACTTGATATATGTCCTAAAGTGACGGATCAGATCTGTGTTCTTGTCTACCGCTTCACAAGTACAAAATACTAAGTTATTTGTTTTATTTTAAACGTTTTTTTTTCACTGCAAATGGAAACTTGTTACTGGTATGTTTCACATTTGTTCAAATCTAAGTCGAGAGAATCTAATTTAGGGCAACAGGGTTCGGTCTCATTCCACAGAACGGCTAGCTGTCTACCGTAACAGTTAGAGAAATCACCAACTTCATAGCGCTAGTGACGACTCTCATGGGTTACTATAGAATTTTGCGCTCATTAACTGGACGAAGCAGAGAATGAAACAAACCACAACCTACACAGGCGAGGCAAAAGGCTTGACTAATTCGCCAAGGAGACTTTGGCCCTCTTTTATGATTTGTTTGTTGCATGCAAATCCGTTTTACAGATTTGACCTATTTGTGTGCAGACCTGTGGATCTTTGTATCTCAGGTAGGTACACACCGATTTCGAGGGAAACATAGGTCAACTCTATGTTGGCTAGGCCCCTGGTCGCACCACCGCAGAGTTTTAGATAGGTTGTCACCAGTATGAGACTTGATTCTTGTGTACCGTCGCATTTGATTCAGCACCTTCGCATCCTGGTCTGCACTTGAGACTGAGATTTTGTAACCTCACTCCGAAACTTTCAGGAAAAGATGAAACGTAACGGAACATAATACAGTTTGACTAAGCTAACTACAACCTCGAATTTGACATTAAAGTAAACGTCTATTAGTCGCTTGTCTCTGTGCTTATTTTTTGCTATAAGGGCCCCTCTTCCACGCCTACAGGTGTACTGGACACATAGGGCTAGACATATATTTGTGTAAACCATTCGGCACTCATTGGGTGATTTGATCAGTATCAAACTGGCCGCCTTTACTTTTCAGGACTCTACCTGCTACTCACTCAAAACTGGGTCGACATGAATGCCAAGGTCAGTTTTAGAAAAAAAAGAACGGTTCTGTCAGGACTTGAACCCACGACCTTCCAAACCGCAGGTGAACGTCTAGCCGCTACACCACGACGGCTCCCTTTCTTGTGCTATAGCCAGCTGATTTTGTGACCTTAATTTTCCACCTCTGAGGAAGCAGCCCAAAGAGGTAAAAGTGACGGAATGTACCCAAATATAACTACGCGTTTTACAATCTCACCTTTGAAATCGAATAAACATTTCATTAGTCGTTTCTTGTTGCCGTGCTTCTTTTCTGTAACAGCTACCGGCCGTTCCTGTTTACGCAGGCGACGAGGGAAGAAAAGGAGTGGGATGGCAAACACGAGACCAAGGCCTCCAAACAGTAGGAACCCCAACCACCACGCTCCCAACCATCTAGGATCTCGAGGAGAAATATTCGTTTCTGAAAACCAACCACAAAAAAAAAAAAAACAAGAATTTAGGGTTCAGAAATGATGAAGAAATTCAATTTCATGTGTTAAAAAAAATATTGACGTTTGAACTGAAATGCTCAAGAAAAGAAAATACTGATATCCTAAAGATATCTTCTTCTTCTTTCGTTCGAATGAAATAAATGATCTATATCTGCATTGTCTCTAGTATGAACTTCACCGTCTTTTGTAATTCACCCAGCGACCCGTAAAGTTTGACTTGCACCGATGTTCCTCTTGGCCAAAAGTTTTGCCTTGATACCTGGTATTTGGGACAGTCTTGGAGGACGTGATCTGTTGTCTCAGGTGCCAATCCACATGTGAACATGGCTGATTCGCCGATTAAAATTTGTGTGTAAATATGGCTGCGATGTCGATTGTGTCCTGTTCTAAGGAGTAAAATAATAACTTGCTCTGGTCTGTCCATAATATTGTAATCGTCTTGTGCCGGTTTCGATGGCTTTCTGACTGATTTGATTATTCTCTTCTTTTGCTGATAAGAGACTGGTACATCAAGTTGTTCTTCATTTGCACTTTCCTTATCAAGTTTATGAGCTTTTTATTAACAGCAGGGAAGATTGGCTAGTAAACAAAATCTTGTCCTGAGAACTAAAATTGTTGGATCGTATCAAGCGCCGAGATAGATTGGTAAGAATAAACCAGCAGAAGGTTTTGAACCAGAAACCACTGTCACTTTGGGTAGCACATTGGACGAAGCGTCAGAGCTGGCGAGAGACCGAGTTTCTTTTAGACAGAACGTGATGAGAGCGACGTTCTGCAAAGGACCTGCTACAAGATGATGGAAAAAAAAAATCAGCTCAGATTATACAAGAGCAAACAGTTCAGGAAAGCCATTAGAGAAAAGTGAGTATTGGAAAATGAGAGCAGGAATTACACATAAACTAGAGACTTTATACAAAAATGTCTGAGAAGAACCCTGAAATTATTTTGGACAAAGAACATCACAGACAATGAACTGGGAAAGAAAACAAAATATTCACCTGTGCAAATTTTAGCAAAGGATGGATATGGCTTGAATATGCACATATAGCTACCCAGATAGGTTAAAAACCATCACACGTCATGCGCCGTTTGGGCCGCTAGGTAGTAACAAATCAGCGCGTGACGCGTTCCTTGGGACTCAAAGAGTTAATGGAACTTAGACTGCGCAAGGAAACATGGAGAATGAAAGTGGAAAGGGAAATCAAGGAATACTCAGTGACATAGGATACCATAGGAGGAAAAGCTGCAGATCAAATAAAATACTTGTAGCTAAACATCTCCGGCATACCTTCCAACGTAAAGTACTTAAGATTAAACATAACCCAAGCATATCTTCTAACGTAAAGTAACCTAGATTGCCTTCCAAGGTAAAGTACTTGTGACGGAACGAACCTCAACATACATTCTAACATAAAGTACTTGTGGCTGAACATACCGCAGGTTACTTTCTAACGTGAAGTACTTGAGACTGAACATAAACTAGCTTGCCTTCTAAGGTAATGTACTACTGACCGAACACACCAAAGCATACCTTCTACTGTATAGCACAGCCCGGCTCTCTAGCGTAGTTGGCTAAACCGAATTGCGCGGAGACCGGGTGACGAACTCCTTGTGGTCCGGGTTCAATCCTGGGGGTAGACAGGAAAGCCACTTTTCTCCCAGATTTACGGTATTTACAATGGAATCAAGGCCGAAAGGTTGCGATATCCATAATTCCGAGCCTAAGGGTTAACAACTCATGGCTTCTGGATACTAAAACAAACAAACAAACTGTATAGCACACGTTCCTGAACATAATAGAGCTTACCTTCTAATGTGACGTACATACTGCTGAACATACCCCCGATTCCAAAAGCTAAGGCAGGACCAAAAATAGACAATCCAGTTATAATACCTGCAACAGAGAAAACGAGTAGTCAATATTGTCATCATCATCATTATCGTGATCGTCGTCAACAACCTCATCATCATCAAATATCAAAAGTCGGCTATCATACCTGACTACCTCACACGGTAATCAGAATATCGAATCAGGTCTATGTAAAAATAAAATTATAGAAACGGTTTTCACACTCAGGATCGCCATGTGGATTCCGTTTGGCCCCATTATGGGGGAAGACAAAAATGTCGCAACAGTTGTCTAAATTGGTGCTTCCATCGAAGTCGGAGTGCATCTGTTGAGAGGTGAGGAACCAGCAATCTGCATACAAAGAGGTTAGATTTGTAAAACTGATGCGCACGCAACACTCAGGCTATGGAACAAGACTGACGTCCAGAGGTGGGCAAGGAATCAGAACCTTCCGCTGGAGTTTAAAGCCGATGAACTTAAAGCTGAAGACACCTACATGCTTACTAAGCTATAGCAATACGAGTTAACTGATTTCTCAGGCTCTGTGTAATAATTCAACAGGTTTCTCATTAAAGACACACACACACAAAACAAGGCCTTCTTCCACGCATTCAGGTTTAAACCTATATTTTTAGACCAATCCGTACCCGGTGGGTGGTGTGGTCAACATCACGCCGGTCGCCTTTACTTCCCAGGACTATGCCTGGTACTAATTAAAGGCTGGGTCGACCTGAGAAAAAGAAACCAGCCGAAGCTTTTTAAAGGCGCATCAGAAGACTTTTCCATTAGTATCCTGAATGAATAAACCAATAATGATGATGATGTTGATGGCGCTGATGATGATGATGATTTTGATGATGATGCTGATGCTGATGATGATGATGATGATGATGATGATGCTGATGATGATGATGATGATGATGATTTTGATGATGATGCTGATGATGATGATAATGATGATGATGATGATGATGATTTTGATGATGATGACGATGCTGATGATGATGATTTTGATGATGATGATGATGATACTGATGATGCTGATGATGATGAGGATGATGTTGATGATGAATTTAATGCTGAAGCTGATGCTGATGACACTCTTTGTAGTGGTAATAATGGGGATAGTGGTAGTGGTGAGGATTATGTTGATGCTCGTCATTGTCCATAAAATATGGGTCTAGCCCTATATGCCCATTACGCCAAACGGCTTGGTAAAATGTCTTTTACTTTACTTACTTTTACTTACATAGTGGTAGTTACAATGATGATGGAGGTGGTGGCAATGATGATAACGCTGGTGGTGGTGATGATGAGGACGTGGATGATGATGCCAAGATGATTTTGATGACGTTGATAATAATAACATACCCTTGACCCGTTAGGATCTGGAGGTGTCTCGATGAAAGCACTAGCACATAAAACCCGTCACATTTCTCTGTCTTCCCCTTGATGAATAAGTGTATGATAACTTAGTCCTGTCTATTTCTTGATGTTGTCATTCCATGTCCTTTTTTGCTTTCCTCTTCTTCGACTACCATCAAATGTTCCTTGAAGCACAGTCTTTGCAATCGAATCATGTCTTACCAAGTACCCAAACCTAGCTAGCTTGTGACGTTTTAACACTGCCAAGAGAGGCTCCTGATGTCCTGCAAATTTGTTATTTTTCCTCCTGACATATTTGCTAGTTTTGTATTCTGAATAACTATTTCGTAAAACGCGTCTTCTGTAATGATAATAATATGACATAAACATTGGCTAACCACCTACCTAAATATAACGGCGTCTTTGTTTTCGGCACGTTATCATCCACGTATGTCCCAATGAATGGATGTCTTGGAGACTTGGCCACTCCTTGGAGAATCATCCCCACAGCAAGAATAGCAATAGCCAAAGTTCTCCACGTCTCAGAAATCTCAAAGGGAGCCTTGGCTCTGTTTGTGTTGTCCCCACAGCTGGTGTTGGAGGGCATTGTTGTGTTCACACAGGTCTGGGTGAATAGTATAGGTGTGGCTAACAGGTGGGAAAGAAATATTATCAATATTTAGTTTTTTCTTAGAAGAGAGCAGATCAGGCAGTCATGTAGCAGGTTCTTTGCAGAACCTTGCTCTCACCACGGTCTGCCTGGGGATAAACATTATATATAATAAAGAAAGATACAATATCTTGATCGGCACTTATAGAAAGAAGTAGAAAGATAGAACGACACATTAGACAAAACGAAAATTGAAAGCTACAGTTACCGTGCCGGGAATCGAACCTGTCACCTCCTAGTGGCGTCTGCGCCGCACTATGGAAACAAGTGTACTAAGATACATGACCAACTAGCACCGTTAAAACAAAAGTTGTCTTCACTTGCCATGTCTATCGTACAGTTTGAAATCCACAACTATGGAATACGGACAGAATTAGTCTCAAACCATTGAAATGGCACCATAGGTTTCAGAAATTTGTAATAACCAAAAATATGTCAAATAACAAAAACTACAACAATTATAAACATGTTGATCGCAGTGGTGTCCAAAGAAGAAACCTTTTATTTATAGGTGTCTAGCTGGTCATGTATCTTACAACCCTTATTTCCATAACGCTGCTCTTCTACGCTGCTCCAAGAGGCTCCTTTGCTCTTTTACAACAACTACTTTTTCTTCTTCTTTTTTAAGTCCTATTTTACCGCTTCCGGAGTCGAGGGAAATGCAAAGCCCTGCTTCGTGCTCTTCTGGCTCCTTCAACCATAGGCACATAGTGGTGCTGTAGAGTTTCTCAGATATCTTTCCGTCTTGTTCTTTGTTTATCCCTGAGCTACGTCCTTCTCCTCTTTTAGTATACGCCTTGTATGGTATAGCATCAGAAGGCATTCTCTTTAAATAGGCAAACCATTTGATTTGCTGTCGTTGTATGTAATTTAGAATTGGTTCTGTGCTGATAAGGGACCATACGTTTTAGTCTTCAGACGTGCTTCTTCTTCTTATGGTGCATGGCGTGTGGCGTTGGTAGACATTTCTATACCCAATCTTCTGTCTCGTGTACTTTCAAACAGCTTTAACACCGATGATCTTCCATGCCATATTGTCAAACTGGTCAGCATCTTATCTCTAGGTCTTCCTTTGCAACTTTCCCACCGTCATGCTATACCCGCTTTCTCTTCCTCGTGACATGACCAAAGAAGACAGACTGTGTCCTTCTGATGTGGGCAACCAGTTTTCTTCGTATAGTTGGCAATAACTTTTGTATAGTGGGCAATCGACTCTCCTCGTATAGTGTGCTAGCTTCTCTTCGTATAAAGGGCACCCTGTTCTCTTCGTACAGTGTGCAAAAACTTCTCTTCCTATAGTGGGCAACCAGTTCTCTTTGTATAGTGGGCAATAACGTCTCTTCCTATAGTAGGCAATCTGTTCTATTCATATAGTGGGCAATAACTTCTCTCCCTATAGTAGGCAATCTGTTCTATTCGTATAGTGGGCAATAACTTCTCTTCCTATAGTAGGCAATCTGTTCTATTCGTATAGTGGGCAATAACTTCTCTTCCTATAGTAGGCAATCTGTTCTATTCGTATAGTGTGCAATAACTTATCTTCCTATAGTAGGCAATCTGTTCTATTCGTATAGTGGGCAATAACTTCTCTTCCTATAGTAGGCAATCTGTTCTATTCGTATAGTGGGCAATAACTTCTCTTCCTATAGTAGGCAATCTGTTCTATTCATATAGTGGGCAATAACTTCTCTCCCTATAGTAGGCAATCTGTTCTATTCATATAGTGGGCAATAACGTCTCTCCCTATAGTAGGCAATCTGTTCTATTCGTATAGTGGGCAATAACTTCTCTTCCTATAGTAGGCAATCTGTTCTATTCGTATAGTGGGCAATAACTTCTCTTCCTATAGTAGGCAATCTGTTCTATTCGTATAGTGGGCAATAACTTCTCTTCATATAGTGTGCAATAACCTCTCTTCATATAGTGGGCAGTCAGTTCTCTTTGTACGGTGGGCATTCAGTTATTTCCGTAATACTCACGATGAGAACTGATAGCTTATATCAGAAAGAGACAATCTACTCACTTTGGTCATGTGATGAGAAGGTGAAAACTGAAGTACATCGTGGCAGTAGGGAAGCTGGAGGGGAGGAGAGGCAGAGGGAGACCGAGAAAACAGATGCTGGACAGTTTGACATCATGGCAAGGAGGATCATCTGTGTCAGAGGTGATTGAAAGTACACGAGACAGAAGACTGTAGAGAGACCTGGCTACTAACGCCACACGGCATGGACTTTAAGAAGAAGAACGCGAAATAGAAGAAGCTGACAAATGATTATTCAGGGAAAGAGCTTAAGTCTTTATCAAAAAGTAAAACAAGATAATCTTTGAGACAACACGACAACTACCTGATCCAAATCCATCAGCCTCTTTCGGTGGACTGGGTATTTGATCCCTGGTGCCAAAGAAAGCCACTGTACAGAACAAGCCAGAGAGACCATACAGAAAAGTGAAGAATGCCATGGCCCTAGGTAGGTGCACCCGTCGGGTAAAGTAGCTCATGATCAAGGTAGTGGACAAGTAGCCCAGTTCGTTGCACGACATGAGGATACCGCTGACTGAACTGCTGAAGTTGAACTGCTTCTCCAGGGTTGAGATCTGAAACAGAGTTAACAAGAGACAGTTCGTATTATCGTTCGCTGATTCACTTTACATCCTTCTTCTTGGCATTAGCCGGTTGTAAACACAGGTTGAAGGTTCTAGTCATTCATCCACTTTTGGACTTCAGCCTTGTTCCAGAGCCTGATTTTGGCTCGTACATCCGTTTCCCCGGCTGTTGAGTTTGCTGGGCTCCAAGATTTCCCCAAGTCTTAAATGGAGACCAGGAAATGTCAGGGGAAATAAAATCGGCCGGCGTAACGTTAATCACATTACCTATCAAATAACAGATTTATATGCAGTGAATGAATAAATGAATCAAGAACTGACATCACTCCACTCAGGACATCTCCATACGGGATCCGTCTCCTTCCTCAGAAACCAGCGGGGAGTCCCTATTCTGATAGTACTAGCTGTGTGGATTTAGCACCAAATGCGCTATGCTCCGCTGACGTGCTAAAGGTCTTGAGTTGGGCTGATTCAAGAACCAACATCACAGCACTCGGGGCATGCCCGTAAACGTTCTGTCCCCAATCTTCAACAGCCAGCGCAGAATTCCAATACCGATGGTCCCAGTAGCATTCTGATTATACGTCCGTTTTGCCTTTCCCCTGAGAGTCGAATATCGGCCAGATCCCCTCGTACTTCTCGCTGCATCGCCCTCACCAGACTGTGGTGATACGTTTGCTCCGAGGAATTATACAAGTTCTTCCACAAGGCCTTAACCTCATCTGCCTGATCATGCATCAGTATTCCACCACGTTGTGGAGAGCCAGTCAGATCTTTTACAACTTTACAAACTGTCTTAACTAGGGGTTGCGTGGATTTTTGTCGTGGTATGGGACGTCGCAGGTTGACCCAGCCTAAAATGGGTACCAGTATGGGCTGTCCTAGGAAAGTAAAGACAGCCGGCGTAATGCTGACCACATTACCCACAGTGCTGATGGTCTGTAAAAATATGGGACGCTCTGCCCATATGCCCGATGCGCCGAAAGGCGTGAAAAGGGATCTTTACTTTTTTACTTTGCTTAACTAGGGGTATTTACCACGTTAAAGAGCTGTGTGGGAGGGTGGAAAGGAAACGAGGATCGTGAGCCTGATGATAGAGAACCTCGTGACTAGTGCAGTCGCCAGGGACAGTGCAGGTGAAGATTTTATGTGTATACCAAGGATAGAGAAACAACAAATCCGCCACCTTACGAAGGAGTCGAATATGTGTCATCGGAATGGAGGTCAAGCGATCCTAATCGCCAAGCCAATTCACACTTTACTTTAATAAGTTAGTTGCGATTGACGGAACCGGACTTTTTAAAAAAAAAACTGAACTTGACTCTGAGGTTGACCCAGGGTTAAATAGGTACCAGGTATAGGCCTGCGAAGTAAAGGCTACCGGCGTGATATTGACCACATAACCCACTGAGTGCCAATCATCATCATCATCATCATCATCATCATTATCATCATCATAAATTCTCTTTATGCCTAGTGGCACATGAGGCTTCAGAGAGGACTTTCCATGATTTCTTGTCCTGTGCAGTTCTCAGTGCAATTTTCCATGTCAGAGATGCCGCACTCAGGTCCCTTTCCATCGTTCGTCTTCATGTTGTTTTTGGGCGCCTCTTTTTTTCTCTTTCTCTCTGGTGTCCATGTGAGAGCTGTTTTGGCAGGTATATCAGGATTCCTTCTCATAACGTAGCCAAGCCATTTCCATCTTCTCTTGGTTATCATACTGTCTAGAGTTTCTTGGTTTGTGACTTGAACCGAGTGCCAATAGATCCTCAAAATATAGGTCTAGCCCTATATGCCAAATGCGCCCGAAGTCTTCGAAGAGAGGCCTCTTGTCTATTTGTCTCTGTCTCGACCTGCTCTTTTTCGGCCTCCCACTCCCACCCCTCCAGCCTCCCTTCCTTTCTTCTCTCGCTCTGCTGCTGCTAAAAAAAAAAAAAACGTACCACTCCAGAAGGGAGGTAACATTAATACTTGTTGAACGAAACATGCTACAACAACAGCCACATCACAATAGCAAGTTCTGTCTGCCAGAAAACCCACACTTTCGCCTGTATTCATTTCCCAAACTCCCTCTTTTTTACTACAAGAGAATCAGTGTAGTCTCTGACTATGATGCTATAAGGCAGTTTCCCCCACGTCTTGCACACCTCGTACAGTAGGCACTGGATGAACCTATTGCTTGTTCATTTGGATGGGAATCTTTACCAATCTCAGAAGTCGTCAACGCTTAACTTTATCAGTCCTTGAGAACGTCAAATTAAGTTGAAGTCAGGATGATTGACTTCGGGTTACCCGTATATTGCACCATCTATCTCGACAGAAAGGCTCGTTGCCTGCCGATAGTGTCCCACAAAACACGAACTCCATATATCCAGCGACGATACTAAAGGTCTTCGTAAAGACTGACCTTCAGAACGCCAGGCAAACGGCTAGATCTCCCACAACCCCCTTCCCCCACACACATCCCCTCACCACAGACACATACGCACACATACACACATACAAACACACACACCCACTCCAACATCACACAATAAAACAATGATTAACTCTAAGGCGTACATCAATAACGACAAAATCAACATCATCAACAGTGACCACACCTGGAGCACCTACCTGAGAATTGATGTACATACTGAGGGCGGAGGTCACAATACCAGCCACTCCGTACGTGGCTGTGAAACACGCCATGGTTCTGCATTTCTGTAAGCACAAAGGCCATTGTCTGTGTCATGAATGTCAGCGGTGAATGAATGGATGACATAATTAGTGAACTGACATCACTGCACGCGGGGCATTTCTACATGTGCTCTGTCCTCATCTTCAGTAGCTACCCATACTGCTGGTGCCAACTGTAACATGTCTAACAATCCGCCTGCCCCTTCTCCTTAAGGTTAGTTGCGTATCCTTTACAGGACGTTGCAGAACCAATCCCAGCAGACCCTGGCTGTTGTGCGGTTTTTCTAGGCAAATTTACGTCCAGTAGTTAGTCATTGCTTTCAGGACTGTCGGCTTTCTTGATACCACTGTCAAAACCAAGACACACGGTCAGCCACAGGTCTTTATGGTCACGATCTACACACAGCTTGCTGAGGACACAGTGAACTTACATTAGGGCCATCTTCAAACCTTTACCATTCTCTCAGTAGTAGTTGATATTACAGGTCAGGGAAGTCGACTTTCCTCTCTCTCTGTCTGGATTTCATTTCATTTTCATGTCGACTAAAACACAGCTAAAACGATTACTACTAAACTGCAGTCATTCATCAACTAATTGGTGCCTGTACAGAACAGAGAGAATTAAATGGCTGTGATAGAATCATTATGGAGGGGCTTTTGGAAAAAACACAAATTTTAGTGAATTAAGAGGTGAAGAAGAGACGCTGGCGATGGAGTGGACACACGTTGAGAGAGCATGAGAACATTGTAACTACAATGTCTTTGCACTGGAACCCACCGGGGCAAAGAAATGAAAGCAGACAAAAAAGAACACACACACACACACACACACACACACACACACACACACACACACGGACAAGGGAGCTAGAGAGTAACGGTAACAAATATGGAGGGTATCGGGTGAGCTGCATGCCATACCACAGAATGGGATGGCTTGGCGTCAGTTAGCTGAGCTAGTTGAGGGCTTTTGCTTTATGGGGTGGGGGGGGGGGGGGGGGGTGTTCAAGGACAAAAGAGGAAATAAATGTTGACATCAAGACAGAACAGCAACCTGCATAATCGGAGGTTTGCAGGAACCAATCCCGCAGTAAATCTCATCGTCACTGCTGGAGTACTTCCGCTCTACATTTTGACTGTCGACGGTATTTTTCTCACGTATGTTCCCGTTCATTGCTGCCTCTGGTGCAGTCTCTGGTGAAACATTTCAAATAATACAATATTATAAATGTCTTTTTATGTGAAGATAATATGACATATTAGACATCAGTCATTGCGTTGGAGAAAGGTATGTCGACAATTAAATTAGACTGTCAAGGGCACTTGAGGTATTGAAGCTGTGGTGGTCGTTGAAGATGGAGACGTAGCGCTTATGAGAAATCTTGAGTGCTGCTTGATGATTTTTAAATCAACGTAACTCATATTCAGATTAGTATTTCTAAAGACAGAGTTCAAATTCTTAAAATACTCTAACTCTGCGTTCTCCAGGTCTTAGGAACTTTCTTAAGCTTAATTCGCAGCAACAGCTCTCTTATGCATCATGCTTTGGAATTGTTTCGTTTCTTGGTAAAAGCAGCCAATGAGGCTTTTTCTACGTTTCCAGTGGTATTGCTCATGACGTGAAAGTTTTTAATATTTCTTAGACCAAAAGGCAGGCGGTGGTTGATTTCACAATTGTTAAAGCTGAATTAAGAATCGACATCACAGAACTGGAGACACTCCAATAAGTGATTCGGCGGCAGCTTTAGCTGCAAGCAAAGAGTTCCAATTCCGATGGCACTAGTAACCGTCTGAGTTTATATCTGCCTCATTTTTTTCTCTGAATGTTGAGCGTCGACCAGATCCTCTGGTAACTCCTCGCAGCGCCATTCTCCTCAGACCGTAATGATCAGTCTGCACTACCGCACTGTTCACAGTGATGCTTGCCACTCTGCACGAAACATGCCATTTTCACTTTTCTCAATATGCTCTGTGAGTCAGTTACAATAACGGTGTAGTGAATCTCATTTTCTCTTAGATAATTTATGCCTAGACAGAATGACGTCAGTAATAAATGTGAGTGGAATATTTTGAGTCTAACTGGGACAACACGGGAATTACTGATAGTCTAACTTTACGGGAATTGTAGAGAAATGCTGATAGTCAAACTTCGCGTGAATTATTATTATTCACGTGTAGAGAAATACTGACAGTCAAACTTCATGTGAAGTATGATTATTCACGGGAGTCACACAAACTGCCGGCCAAATGGAATTCGTGGGAATGAAGGAACACGGAGAATTCAGGAGTACGAAGAGGGGCATTAGAAGGCTATATAATGCCGTAGAAAGGGCTGGGAGTCAGTCACGTTTGGGCCCAGGAACGGAGTGCGTGAACAACGGTGGAAGATGTGTGGATCCAACATGTATTTGAGAGTGAGTGTTATTCCAACGTCCAGCTTGGCAAAACAAGCTAGCAGGCAACATGTCTGCCGGCCGTGTTAGTTTTCCGTCAGGACAGCTGTTGTTTTTTCGTTCATTATGCTTGTGGTAGGACGATTGTGATTTCGGCTAAAAGGTAACAATGATACTTTTGATATTTGAGTAATAATGTGGGCCTGGACAGTAGTCTATTTCATGTGCCGGCTGATGAAGCCGCGAGTGGAAGAATAAAGTGCAGAAACAGTCTCGTTTTGTTTTCCAGTCGTCCATTTTCTGCTCGTCGTGTGATTTCGGTGTATGAAATAGGAATCGTGCGATGACGCGAGCCAGATAGAAGATAAAAGAAAGTCATCGCATACGGCATGCGTGCACAGCTGACTCTCAAACCAGCGGAAAGCAGCAGAGACTGCCTCCACCTCCATTCACAAACTAGACGTTGTGATAACATATGCAAGGATTTACTGCAATAAGCGACGCCCATTCGTCTTTGTCCTGAACACCCATGCACTTCATCTGCCCCTCAACACAGAGCCATCTGTATATACAATGACATCACTTGGGCGGGAATTGTCATGAATTGTTTGTTGAACTTCTGATTCTGCAGAGCCAGCTGGCCAGTCACTGCACTTACGTCCCAACGTGATTAGAACCCTGCACAAGTCTTAAACTTGTTCGGACACCTTTACCCACTTCTCTCCTCGGAAAATTTATCAAGCTGGACACATATCCAAGTGTGTCTTCAGCTTGCGTCATCCAAGACCTTCCTCTTTTCAGTCTGTGATCCTTAGCTCTACCCAGGGCTTCATGCAGGAGGTCCCTCTTGTCCGCAGCTACTCTGAGATATGACTTTGCTTGCAGAACTTTGAGCCTATCTGCAATAGTAGGCTGTGAAAGTATCTATCGCATACATACTACCGGGGTATCTCTAGTACACCCCAGAATCACCCGCATGGCTTCATTCTGTACGTGTTGGCGAAACTCAGGCCTTGGTACAAAGCCAAATTCCAAATGGAAACACAAGCATGACTTGAACATAGAAGAAGAAGAAGAAAAAGATAGGGACAAAAAAAAAAAAAAAAAAAAAAACGGATGGGGCGGTTCAGTTTAAGGGGCCTGTTCTCGTGTCTGGGTTCCTCTTCTACCAAAAGCCGCTGACGGTGTAGCTACAGCAAGAAAGAACGTCGTATGTCTTGTGTGTAACAAGTGAGCCATTGGAACAGCCAGCATCTACAGCCTAGGATATTTGCTGCAGGAAACAGAGCACCAATGGGTGTGCCCGGAGTTCTTCGATGCCGATTCTTCAATGACAGAGCTTTCAATAAAGAATAGTCCAAGAAATATTTCTGCTCGCTCGGGTGAAGTTACAGCTGAACAATTCAAGCGTGCAAAGAAATTCGTGACACGGGTTTGAACAATATCGTGTTTAGTGCATTCTTCAGTAACTACGTCAGAACAGTAGAATGCCCGCCCACCCGATGACCAGGGCTGTCGATGTTGGTAGTTTCGTACACATTTGGAACTATTTGACCCTTGCTGAGCAAAACTGTACTTTCAATAAAACGCCGGTCAATTGTTACCAGGTCGCTAAAGCTGTTACCAAAACTTTCATGGGAAGTAAAAGCGGCCTGCTTGATCTTCACCCACTCATCCATTCAGATTTGATTGACCTACCAGTGTGAGACCAGAATCAAATACTAAACAAGATTTCTAGAGTGGAAATACGATCTTTATACACTAACATTGTGTGTTGTGGCGACTTACTTTGAAGTTTGATTCAGAAATCACTGCGCGGGACATTGAAATGCGCGGCCATTTAGATATTTAGATGTCTCAGGGGAAATAGAGCAGCGAGATCGTTGTTGAGGATAGGTGAGAACGCCCCCCCCCCTGCTGACGTCACTATAGAAGATCTACGAGTACAGTTTATGTGGCTATTGTTGACTAGGAAACCTGTGTGGCTGTATTAATGTTTTTGTATGTGATTGTGCATACGTGTGTTTATGTATGTGTATATGGACACCACAGAAAACATGAGGAAGATGGTGGTGGTCCCTGATATCTCTCTCGCCCCCCCCCCTCCCCCTCCTTCCTACCAGTACTCCCTAAGATTTATAGGCAAAGAAAGAGTATGGAGGTCCTTAGTAGGCTTAATTCTAGTTTAAAAGCATAATAATAATAGGAAAAAATGCTGAAACGAAATCATAGTCCTCTTAAAAACCTGGGAGCAGTTGGGGGGGGGGGCGGCTAGAGGGACTTGAGGCTCCAGCTTCCAGCACCATTTGTAACATTCTCTGTCACCTTACTTGTGCACTCTCTCAGACTGCCGTTCCCCTTTATGTTGAGACTTTCCTTTCACTCATTTCGCTATCTCTTGTTTGCCTGCTTTCAACGTTCCCCTCCAGCATAGCATTCATAATACTGTGAGATCGTCTGATGTGACCGAAATATTCCACGTGTTCCTGTTTATTTCCTTCAAAAACTTTCTTGTGTTGATTGTTCTTTAGAAGTTATCTAAAAGATTCTCAGGTTTTTTGGGGGAAATGAATAGAAAGAATTAAATGGTATGATAGAATTAGTAATGTAGAGCTCTGGGAGAGAACTAAA